CCTGGAGAAACTCATCAGTCAGCCAGCACTGGTGGCCAGGGTCACCTTCTATTGCTTCTACACCTGGGACTCACCTATCTGCAGGGTCTGGGCAGCGACTGTTGAGTGATTATGTATACACGTGCGCAGTGTGTGCATGCCTTTGTGTGTGTGGTGGCATGCCACACATGTGATGGTACATGTGCATGCAGCACAAGCGTGTGATATGTATGCAGTGGGTGTTGCATGTGTGGTATTGCGTGTGATGGCAGGTGTATGGCGTGTGTGGTATTGGTTGAATGTCTGGGAAGTGACTGTGGGTCTGAGCACAGGGGCTTCATGTGGGCTGGCAGGAGGACAAAGGAAAGTAGCCTGGCGAAATGCATGATGGGTTTTGACCTATAGAACTGGGTGATATTGGGTCACCACGTTTGTGGAAATATCCAACAGCAGCATCAGGAAACAAATTCATCCACATAAGGGTCCCAGAGAGGACTTGTAACGTGCCCAGGTGGCCCAGAAGAACCAGGGTCCTTGGCCTGGCTGGCTAATTCCCTAGCCCTCCACACTACCCTGGACAGAATAGACATGGGGTTCCAGCTTTCCCTGAGCGCTTGTTTACAGAACAGGTGTCCTGAATTCCTGCTGAGGTTTCAGATTATGAGTGTTCCGTGGAACCCAAATCTCAATCTGGCATGACGCTGGTGACTCACACCTGTCAATCCTAGCTACTCAGGAGGTTGAGATCTAAGGATCATGGTTCAAACCTAGCCCAGGCAGGAAAGTCTATGAGACTTTTTAAAAAATCTTATCTCTAGTCTCCACTAAGTTATCCACACTCTAATCTCCAACTAACCACCTAAAACCTGGAAGTAGTGTGGTAACTCAAAGTGGTAGAGCACTAAGCTTGAGCCCCCAGTGCCTATGTCCTGAGTTCAAGTCCCACGACAACAAAAAGAATCTGAACCTGGATACAACCGAAGTAAGCCAAGGGGTCTACATTCTGGTGCGAAAAGACCAGGGATACCCAACCCACCCATGCAAGTAGGGCACCTGCTGTTTGATCTGGGCAGAGAAGATCTGAGTACTGAATTGGCTGGACCTTGTAGCTAAACACACTACTAAAACCTGAGGACAGGAGGCGCAGGCAGCAGGCACACTGGGTATTTGCAGAGTTCTTTGGGGCCAACATGGTAAGTGTTTACGATGGGTGATTCATGGGCATTGCAAGAGATCTGGTGGGACTGGAGGAGAAGCTGTAAGTAGGCTGCAGAATTCAGGGCTGAGTCCAGACAGCCTCGTGGGCTGCAAACTGGACAGCAGGGGGCTCCAGCCATGGTTTCCTCTGTCACCACCTTGAACTCGAGCTTCCTGAGTAAGCCCAGTGGGACAATGATGTATACTTGTAAGGAATTACATTCAGTCTGGGAGTCTTTTATTATTGCCCGATGCCCCCATTACACTATGCGTGTGGGATGTCCTTCGGAACACAGAATGCTGGAGGAAATGTGGTACCTGGAAGGTCAGATTCTCAAGGTCGGCATTTTATATCTATAATTGATGAAGGGGGCACTGATGGCTCAAGAGACCACGCTTTCCCTTCTGACCAGAACTTGCTTGAGTACGGACAGTGAGTAATGGCACACTCAAGAAAACACAGCTGACCACCATTTCCTCACACTAGTTGATCAGATAGGCTTGAAAAAAGGCAACAGAGATGGAAGGAAAGGGGAAGATGGGGCTGGGCCATCACAGAGAACAGAGGCAACATGGGCCAATCTGAACTGGGCTCCAGAACTGTGAGATGAGAAATTTGTATTGCCTTAACCACTCAGTGTGTCATAATTTGTTACGGCAGCAACAGAAAACTAATATACTACTAAAACGGAACACAAGCCTCGACTCAGCATTTCCACTCCCATCAGAAAAGCATGTCCAAAGCCACACTCAAAAATGCTTAGCACAGCACTATTTGCCAAGTCCCAAACTGGAAACCACCCAAATACCTATCAGCAGTGGAAAGGAGAAGTAAATCCTACATGGCAATGAGAGGAAATAAATTAGGACTGCATTCCATAATGTGGATAGACTCACAGACATACAAATACCTATGCCATCATCCCATTCTAATATCACAAAGCAAATTAATAATCTATGTGATCAGTGGTCACATAGCATGGTTGGTCCTTGTGGGTTTGTGGCTGGAAATGGCCCAAGGGGGTTTTTGGGGGTGAGTGTTGTAGGTACTGCTGTACATGTAGTACCCTTGTAAACCTTAACATGGAGTCATCCACTCAAAAGACGTCCAGTTGTTGCATGTATATTACATTTCAGAAAAAGCTTTTCAAAAGCTTCCCTCCATTTGCAGCAGGCATGTGATATAGTAATATAGATTGTGATTGCTTTCCACTGTTACTATGTGCAGATCTACATTTCTGTAACTTTTTTCTTAACCCATCATGCATATTAAGGCAGTGCTCTACCACTGGGCTCCCCCCCCCCCCAAAAAAAAAGCCTAATAAATATTTGACTTAGAAAAGGAGATGTAGTGGTAACAATCTTAGCACTTGGGAGACTGAGGTAGGAAGACTGCACATCGCAGGCCAGCCTGGGCTAGTGAGAACCTATCTAAAAAAAAAAAAAAAGCTGGAGGGGTGGGATGGGGGAAATCTTCCTTACCATCTGTTCCAAAGTTTCCATTCCCCTCAGCATTCATCTCCAGTTCAGGCTGAGAATAGACTTGATGAAATTATTTGATTGCACTCACTAATTATTCATTATTTCACTGCAGATATGTTGAATTAGGTCCCCAAAGGCAGGTACTTGCGTCTTGTCTCGGTCTTCAGCCCAGGAGACAAGATGCCAAGATGCCTGAGGCTAGATTATTTATAAAGAAAAAAAGTTGATTGAACTCACAGTTCCGAAGGTCCAAGAGCATGGTGCTGGGATCTGCTCTGCTTCTGGTGAGCGCCTGGTGCTCTGTCATATCACGATGGGATAGAGAAAAGGGAAGTAAGCGTGTGCAGATGCAGTGGGTACGTGAGGCAGACAGAAGGGAGGCTGACAACCCACTCTCATGGTAACTAATCCAGTGGGAGACCCCATTCACTCCTGTGAGCTGTAAAGTCTTGAGAGAACCTACTCAGTCCTCCCAGACAGCAATCCATTCACAAGGGTGGGGAATGCAAGACCTAATCATCTCCCTCCCCAAGACCCTCCCTCTTAAAGGCTCTTGACAGTTCCATCCTGGTTACACTGGGACCAAGTTTCCAGTCCATGCACTTTTGGGGGACAAATAATAGCAGCGTGGCAGGCACCATGAATTCATTTCATGGAGTACAAAATATTTAAGGCTATGACATCATGAATGTACAGACTTTGACTGGGTTCCCATTAAAAAAAAAAAGGGTAAGGTATGCTTAAGCTTTGTATTGATCACATCTCTCTTCATTGTTGTGTGGTGAGGGGCTAGGCGAAATAAATTCAAAATTCTCTTCCAGTTCTAAGACAAAGAAAAGAAGTAGGAGGTACTGTTCACAATGGTTTCTGAGACTCCAAAGACCCCAAAAGACCAAGGTCTTTCAAACTATGGAGGAATACACAGACCCTGGATCTAGAATGTACAGCACACAACCGGCTCCCAACGGCTGTGACTAGCTTCTTGCCTGGGCTGCCCTGGGCATGATCCGCCTATTTTACACTCCTATCATAGCTGGGATGACAGGCATGCACCACCATACTCTGCTTCTTTTGTTGAGATGAGACTGTTCATGATTCTTCTGGTCTCAGTCTCCCAAGAAGCTTTGAAGCTACAGGCCTGAGTTCCCTGGCCTGATTACATCTCTCTGAAGTCATCATCACATTCTGTTTTCAGAAGACCTGATTAAGCCACAGGCCTACTACCTAAATGTTTCACTTAGAAGAAACATTATTGGTTTTATTTTTTACTTCCCTGACTGAAAACAAACAAAAACTCAAACAACTTCACTATTGTTAAAGATAACATTCTATGTTAATCCACAGGAGTAAGAGCACCTGGGGCTCACACCTGGAATCCTAGCTACTCAGGAGGCTGAGATCTGAGGACCAAGGGCAGGAAAGGCTGATAGACTCCAATTAACCACAAAAAAAATCAGGAAGTGTAGCTGTGGCTTAAGTTGCAGAGTGCTAGCCTTGAGCCAAAAAGCTTAGTGACAATGCCCAGACCCTGAGTTCAAGTCCCAGGACCAGCGCGCGTGCGCACACGCACACACACACACACACACACACACACACACACACACACACACACACACACACGAGTAGCAATAGAATCTTCAAGACCACATTAAGTGGCCAATTAAACATTATTTTTAGCACTCCCCCAGCCCTCCCACCTGCCTACAATGGACCATTTTGGTCAACAAATAATGAAATATTTAGGCCCATTAAGGGCATACAGAGGAGCAGGATAGACAAATGGAACCTGGACTAAGGTCAAGAGAAGCATTTTCCCAATCGTAACACCTTTAAAATTAATACTGACAGCCATCTATCTGTAATGTTTCTAGTTCTTTTAAGATAAAGAATAAAGAAGTGAACCAAACTCAAACATCCTAAGGTGCTTGAAAGCAGGGGTGAGATGAAAGTGGATCATCCCATGCAGAAACAAGCACACAGTGTCATTCCTGAATCTACAGAATACAAATATAGATAGACTGGCAGATTCTCCGGGTTCATTTGTGAGGAAATAGTTTTGCTATTTGTGTATTTGGTTTTATATGGGCATTGTTTTGAAGTATAAACTTATTACAATTATTCTGAAAAACTTAAGACTCAGGAATCTGCAGAACACTTTCAGTAAGGGAACAAACAAAATGTTTCTTGGCTTTCAGTGTGAAAACACTTGGCAAATCTTGACTGAAATCATTACACTCCAACACCTACTCACATTCAGGTTAAGTCTGTAATCAGAGATGGTGATATAAAAGATACAGTCAACTGTCACTTAAAAATACACACAAATAGGACATGCTATACAATTCTCTTTTAAAATGTAGTCTGTATTATTTTTTTACCAATCAAAACACACATAGTATATTTTATTATAAAACATTAGGCAATGTTACTTTTGAGATATGCGATCTGAAAGGTCAGACCAGTATTTACCATCAGTATGAAATATCAGAGGAGTTACATCAGAAACCAACCAGACAAACCCAGCCACTGTTATAACATACATAGGGCTCAGTTCCAATTGAACCAGTGTCCCAGATTCAGACCCTGAGCGTCAGCAAGGGGTCCTGCAGAGGGCTTTCTCCAGCACTGGAGCTCTTGAGTTTAGTGTTTCAAAGGCAGGAACAGAGCCCTGCTTGGTCTGCAGACCCACAGCTGTCCGACTCTGCCCAGCCAGTGCTCCTAGACTGCTCTCTTACCCTGACAGGACTCTGCCCTCTAGAATCTGCACTTGAAATTGAAACCCAGACATGGGGGAAAGCGGTCATTTCCTTTTTGACCAATAACTAACCCAACAAAAGAAACAAACCTAGTTCAAATCCCAGATAACTATCAATTACCTGGTTTATAAAAATACATGTCCAAAATAGTTACTTCCAGGGTGTGTACAATATAAATTACAAAAATAAAATAGAAAAGATGAAAAAGTTGAGCACATTTTTTTTCAGCTCATTATCCAATACCAGCATTTCTCCACAGAGATCAGGTCAAAACCATCTGCCTTGCATCAGGACCCTGGCAAATCTAGGCTCAGGAGGGAGGACCCTGACATTGGGGTGAGGTATTTCTGTGGAGTTCTGTGACTGGTCCAGGTACACTGGCCTACCTGACAGAAGAGGGTCAGGACAGCGACCTTTCCATGCCAGCACAGGCTCCATTCATGACAACAGGCTTCTGGGACACACACAGGACTAGGTGAGCAGAAAGCTGCGCTGTGGCACCTTGCTCCACCTTCAGGTATCTCCTGGTAAGTGGGACCAGCCGAGCCTGACAGCAGTATACCTGTACATGGCTCAGGGCAGATCATGCAGTGCACAATACTCCCTACTGGTTTTCACTTCAAAGACAGATTTAGTGAGTTTTGATGTTTACATATGTGTATAGTGATGACTTTCTTAGGTATAACATTAGGCCTCCAGGGCTAAGCCACATAATAGGTATTTCTGCCTCTATCCAAGTTCAAATTTCCACTTCATACTTAAAGTATCTAAGTGACTTGATATAAAACCATTCCTTATTTCAAGATCAATTCTGTCCATCAAGGGTTCCAGTTTCCAGTGATAAGACCAACCGTTAAGATACAACTGCTGCAGAGAATCATATATTTCAGATAATACTTAAGATAAACTCTTATTAAAGGTCCTCCCAGAAACACATTCTATAGAACATTGGCCAAATAGCTTTCAAAATAACTGAACACAAGATATGAATTGCAACAACGTAAGCTCGAGGGAAAAATCATTCTGAGCACAGGTAGGCAAACGTAATCATTGTAACTCCATTTCTGCATTGACACATAAATACTCAGCATCTTTATGAATTTCATATAGAATTTACACATCAGAAAGTGAAAGAATCAATTTCAGGTGAGCAGTTTTAACCAGAAAGCATTCAAGAGTGAGTCACTATCCTCTAGGAGAATTTTCCAGAACATCATAGATTTCCCTTAGGAGAAGGAATTGTCTCCACAAAGTGGAGAACAGGCTTTTGAGGGGACCTGGCTTTTTTTCAGTGAGAAAGAAAAATGCGTTAGAATGTGCTGTTGGCCTTGTATTTCATCTTGAATGAGTGGATGAGCAAAGGGTATTGAGACCAAGTGTTATGTGTCTGATAAAGAACATGAAATAGTAGGGAACATTTAAAATTATTAAGAAATCCCAACCACCAAGAAAAAAAAAGATAAGACAGGATTCAAGGGTACTTACATCTTAAGCAGCACAAAACTGAAAATTTTTTCATGCAGTAAAGTGGAATCATCTCACATTAAACAATTTAGAGGAAACAGTGTCTTGGTTTTAGCAGTGATAATTCTCAGCCTGAAACATCACAAGTTTTTTTTTTAAAAAGCTATATTTTTATTAAATAGATTTAATGATATACTTCTGAAATACAAAAGATAGAATCATACCATAAAAGAGGATAATGTATTATGATGGTGGCCAATTAATACATATAAATCTATTTTTTTTTCTGGACAGACACCAAGTGACTTAAGAGGATTAAGAGATCATTCTAGAAGCAGCACTACCTGGAAGATTATTTGGCATTAAATACTGATTTCCAAAGTGCCAGGTGGGCAAGCCCAAGCAAGTGGTCACATGCACTAAGTCCCAACAGGATACAGATGAGGAGAAACTGTCACCATTATCACCACACGACTTGTAAAATGTCTTCTATTCTAATTGCTCACCTGAAATGATCTTGAACAAAATCTCTATAAGTGTGGCTCGTACTTTTTCTTCAGACATAATCGGCTTTGTTTTTATAATCTAGGCAGGCAATCCTATTAGAACCGAGTGGGGCAAGGCATCGTGTTTCTTACATGCAGAACATGGAGTTTTTCTATTTGGTTCCATCAACTCCCACACATTTTTGGGACGACCATGAAAGTGAACATTCCTCCACTGATGATGTTTCCTGTTCCCAACCTATCACCGACATCCTTCCAGGGGTCCCGTGGAGGCATCAAGACTGCTGTCTGTGTCTGAGGCCAGGGTCTGCTCGGTGGACATGGATGAGATGTCATTGATGGATGACGACTGAGAAGGAGTGGCGTTGCTACTTACTGCTGCATCTGTGCTAAGAAAACCAAATAGAATAAAATCTGAGGCACGACATTGCTGCAAATCCAGGCAATGAGATGTCAGGCCACTTCTTGGCTCTGTCCTTTTGCAGTTTCCCAGTCCTAGCTATTGTAAGAATAAGAAGTTAGTCGATTGTACTTTTTGGAGTTTCCCTTAAGTCTTCCTTTTGCTCCAGGATTTCATGTATTTCTGCCTTTCCCTGTGGTATGCCTCTTCCTCTTCAGTGGCTAAAGATGGAGATGGTCCCATATGCTCATGCTAACTAACTTAAAAAAAAAACCTTTATTTTAAAAGGAAATTGATGAATTTATCCTACAAGTATGACAACAAGGTTAAGCCTGAATAGGACCTGTGTCATCAAACATTTCAGTTATAACATAAGTTCCAATTCTACAGAGAAGAGCATCAACACCTGAATTGTCTGAAAAAAAAACCAACCAAAAAACCTCTGAAATAAATACTGCAGACACAACACACAAAGGAAAATATTAGTGGCCTCTTATTTGTTTTATTTTTGTTTATGAGTTCAGAAAATTGATATTTAATTTTTAGAGGAAAATGATGCTATCTGATTTCATAATATAACGTATTTTTTTAGTCTGGTTTGAAAAAAAATACATAGGCTTTCAGAGTTTAGTGTTTGTAGTTGTAGATTTGTATTCACAAATTCTAAATTCTTGCTAAGTTATTTTACCTCTAGATACCTGACACATATCATGTTGAATATAAAATTTAACAAGAAATAAGCTGTGCAACTTATACTTGTATGGCTGTTATTTCAAGTAGGATTAAGCAAATAACTATAACTTAAGTTTTATTTAGTAAGCAAAAAGAAATCCACATATATAGATTAAGACCATTGATAGCTAGGTCTCTCCCAATGATACAATTACCTAGTCATTAGATTTCTACCACTAGGCAAGCCAAGTATAAAAATTTTACAAACACAAAACAAATTCCATTTTACCTGGATTTATGTTAGCATTCTTCTTTTTGTCCTTTTTTTTTTTAAATAGTAACATTTGACCTTAGGGCCTTACACTTGCTAGGTAAGGGCTCTTACCATCTAAGCTACCACACCATTCATTTTCATTAATTTGTAAACAGGGTCTCATTTTTTACTGAGACTGTGATTTTTTTTGGAATGCAATCCTCCTGATTTCTGCTTCTCAAGTAGTTAGGATTATAAGCATGAGCTACCAAGCCCCTCGTTTGGTGGTTTCTTGTTTTATTTTATTTTTGTTTTTAAACAAAGAGCCAAGCTCACTGTAAGGACTCTAAAATGGAGCTGACCGTAGTTGTTGCAAGGATAGAATACAAACACCAATACAACCTGTAGGTCATGTCAGAAAGTGAGAGATGTCGTCACATAACACAGTTTTACTGGACGTTCATGTCCAGGGGTGGTCTCACAGGCATTTCCCACACTGCTGCGATTTATATAAGTTGATTAGGTAAAGAAAAGGATTGAACCAATCACTAACCTGAAGGTTGATCTTTTACTACACCGTTCTTGCTTCTTTCTTCCCAGTCCATTACTTCTTTGTAAATTAGTTCTTCAAATGGAAAGGCAAGTTAACATGCTTGGTCAGTGTCTCTGCATCTCTCAACAATGCTTGGGGGGGGGAAGGGTTGAGTGGGGGAAGGTGGGGGAGGATGGGAAAGGATGGGAAGGGGAAACAAAGGAGGAGGCTACAATGCTTGATAAAAAATGTACTCATTATCTTGCCCATGTAATTGTAACCTCTCTGTACGTTATTTTCACAATTAAAAAATAAGTAAAAATATATACACAAAAACCAAAAAAAAACAAAACAATGCTTCCAAATCACCTGAACCCTCCACAGACACTGTGATGTGTTATTTTAAGTGGTAAGACATGGTTAATTCACTAATATAGTCTACTAGGACATCCATATTTTGATCCTATATATATATAATTTTTTTTGGTCAGTCATGGGGCTTGAACTCTGGGCCTGAGTGCTGTCCCTCAGCTCTTCAGCTCAAAGCTAGTGCTCTACAACTTGAGCCACAGCACCATTTCCAGTTTTCTGGTGGTTTATTGGAGATAAGAATTTCTCCGCCTTTCCTGCATGGGCTGGCTTTGAACCGTGATCCTCAGATCTCAGCCTCCTGAGTAGCTAGGATTAAGGTGTAAGCCACTGGTACCTGGCACTTTTGTTGTTGTTGTTGTTTATTCTTTCTATCTTTCTTTCTTTCGGTGCTGGAGATCAAACCCAGGACCTTACATGTTAGGCAATTTTTCTACCATTGTGGCCCCAGAATCCATTGTAACTTTTCAACGAGACTATGAAGACAGCCAGTAAATGCAGGGCTGTTCTGAATCAGAGGAGCAGGAAGGGAGGAGAATGCACAAATGAACAGAGCAGTTCTTGTAGATATTTTAAAGGATTAGATGATTTTCAAGAATGTGTTTCTTTCCATCATTACTTGTGCATCTCCGGTGTCACCACCATCATCTACATGTGGGCTGCAGCCTCCTTCAGACTTAACAGAAATGAATCCATACACTTAAATCATGTCTTAGCAGTTTCCAACTTTCACTGATAAGAACAACTAATTTAACAGTGTAAGTTGTTAGGGGTTCCTAACATTTCAGCATTCATGAACTAACAGCACAATGCAAGCATGTACTTGGGTCTATGAAAGTGGTTGAATGCTGCATGTGTGCACACCCAATTCTGGGAAGGGTTCAGGCCTGGTTCTTTTGTTTTCAAGATAGTGTCTCAGTGCCTTTGCTTGGGGTGGTCTCAAAATGGTAATCTTCCTGTTTCTGCCTCCCAAGTATTTGGGATTACAGATATGCACCCAGCTGTGCACCCAGATATGGTGATGCCCAGCTCTGACCCTGCTTTTCGATGAATACCTGTTAGTCAGCATTTTTATACCAGTTTAGTTTTTGGTGGTAAGGTTAATCTTATGCTGATAATAATATCTTCTTGTCTATTTTTAATTGGCTATTTCCCCTCAAACTAGATTTTTAAAATATATACATGGCCTAAAACATAATGCATAAGTTCATATGATCCTCAGCCGGGATCCTTGGTATCTGCTTAGACAGGAAATTTTGTAGGAGGTTACTTGACAAATTTGCAACATGTTATCTAGATAAGTGTGATACAGTTACTGATTTTAGTTGACAAACCAGTAGTTGATACTGTAAAATCCAGTGAAAATACAAACAGTATACAGGTTTTCTTTAAACATTTTCAAGTTCTTTTTCAACTAAGCAGACAGAGAAAGAGGAAGGGCACTAGAGAATCTCTAGCTTCTTCCTAAGGGCTCAGGTCAAAATTTAAAACTTTCAGGATTGCAAAAACATGTCATCAGTAAGGTTCAAAGTGAACTCCTTTACCTTTCCATTCTTCAATTGCATGCTCTCTTTCTTCCAACTGGGCATCATAAATTTGAGGTGGTGGCTAAAAATGAAATGACATGTAAGATCAACAGTTCAAAGAACAATGAGGCATGATAAAAAAAGGTAACATCTCTTGAAATATTTCTACACTATGTGTGATATAGATTTAGTTTCATTAGCACATGGTTTATTAAAACAATTTTGTCAGACCTATGCTACTGTAGCAGTTTCAGAATCAAAACAAGGAAAAACAGGCAAAAAAAGAGAGCTGTTACTAATAATCGTCTTAACCACATGACTTTAGGACCCTCCACAGTCATCTGCCAGATGTGATCACAAAATTAATAACCACAGAGATTAAGCCCAGCACCACTATGTGAAAGCTGTTCTGTGCGTGGCGCTGTGTCATGGGCTTTGCTTGTATCCTCTTATTTAGGGCTCTGAATTGGAGAGGCAAAGTTCATTCACACAGCATTGCCATGGAAAATGGACATGAGCACCAATGCGGAAGAGAACTCCTTGTGCAGGAGGACAGGGAGGCCCAGATGCCTCAGAGAATAATATAAACAACCTTGTCACTTCTAGCAAGTCATTTAGTCTCTCTGGTTCAGGGGCCTGAGTAAGAGCAAAGTCCATGGTGTAAGGCCAGGCACAAAACAGATGCTTATTAAGTCATCATTAAACATCAGCTTTTGCCACAGGCAACTATGTCATCACCGAATAAGCATGTTCAGCCTCAATATCAAGGTATCCGACACAGGGTGTAGGCCTTTAATTTTGTACTCAGGAGCCTGCTGTTCATCTGTAGCTTTTCAGACAAACAGAGGGAGGATCTAGGAAAAGTAAGCCCTGCTTCTCATGTAGGTATCTTCCAAATGGACACTTAACTGCTTCCGCTTCTGCAGGATCATACCAAACAGTAATGTATGGGTGACGCAGGGCTTCATCCACAGAGATACGCTTGTCTGGATCGATCACTAACATTTTCGATAACAGATCTCTGGCTTGACTTGCTAAGGGGGAAAACAAATACTAGATTAGTATGCTTATGCTATTAGTCTGAAACAAAACCACATAGTAGAGAATTAAATGTGACAGCATAGACAGAATAGTGAGACATGTTCAAGCAAGAACAAAGAAGAGCCAAAGACTTCTAAGAAAAAGTGGCAACCATTTTTTTTTTTTGTCGGTTGTGGGGCTTGAACTCTGGGTCCGGGCACTGTCCCTCAGCTCTTTAGCTCAAGGCTGGTGCTCTACCACTTGAGCCACAGCCCCACTTCTGACTTTTTCTGCTTATGTGATGCTGAGGAATCGAACCCAGGGCCTCACGCATGCAAGGCAAACACTCTACCACTGAGCCACCTTTCCAGCCCTGTTGAAAACATTTGTATTGCTGAATATTAATTGCACAAAATCATGTATGTAAAGCGTTTTAATTGTTCTCACCTGCCAGGGAAGGCTGCATGTCTCTTAGTAAGACAGACTTATTATACAGCCCAGGCTTATCTCAAACTCTTCTTGCCTCAGTCCCTGGAGTGCTGGGACGATAGGAGTGTACCACTACTATGCCACACTCAGTTTACAAAGCTAGAATCTTCATTTAAGTGTTCTTTATAGCTGAAAACTTTAAAATCGGATTGCCGATTCAATACAAAATAATTTGAATGTTTTAATTTTGGCCAAAGCAAGACATCTCTTAGCCTTTAAGCTTTCTCTCTGTAATATCTTGACACAGGCAGACATCTAGGCTTTGTTTCAGGGTTTCAACTAGCTTATCTCCTAGTATGCACAGGTTTTAGAGTACAAACATGGATAAACAGCATCATCTGCATCAGAATAAAAGGACATCTTACTTTTTATTTTGTCTCGTTCAGATTCTGATGGAAATATCCAATCTGGAAAGAGTTCTTCAAACTTGATTCCAGGATACTTTGGTCTGTTTTCTACATAATTCCTCACAGTTGGCTGAAGTTTCTTCATGAACTCTGATGACGGTGTTCCTAGTTGCTCAATTACTTTATTCCACTGATCAATATCTAAGGAATCTCTTGAGGAAAATAAAACTGACGTGCCTTATAGTCATATTGCATGTGATATTACCATTCAAAGAAAAATTATTTTTTTATACCTATGGCCAAGTAAGCAACTATGCCCCATACCTCCTCCCCCAACCAGGTCTGTAGAAGCATTTGGATCTAAATAGGTAAAGTTTGGACTTCCAAATTAAGAGTACTTAAAAAAAAACACCCACATACTCTGCATCTATAAACTATGATCACAACTTATTAAATCAAAACAATGAGATTTATTTGCCTTCCTAGTCTAGTTCAAAATAAAATTATGACAGAGATGATTAAGTCTGTGGTAGAAATGATTAAACATGATATTAGGTGCACATTACCTATGAAAAATTCACACTAAAGCTACACAGCTCTCTAAGGAAGAGGAATATGAGAGACCCATCTGATCTGTTATAGGTGGGCAACTGAAGTCCCATGGGACAGGCTAGCCAAAGATGACAGAGTGAGTGAGGGGGGTAGAAGCAGGGCTCTGGCCTTCCTGCACTATGGGCCTGGGCCTTTCCCACATGAACATATTCCTGAGACTGAGCAGCAACAGCTTTCAATTGTCATTCTGTTTTAGTTGGCATGGACCCAGCTCCACCATTCCTGTGAAATCTAGTAATGCACTTTACTTCCTTTCAAAGTACAGGACCTGGGTTTCAGACTCAGGTGTCAGGGAAGGCAATCTTCCTCAGGGCAGCCTCGATATTTGCACAAAGCAGAAGGTAACCGGCCCTGCCTAGTTCACAGGGTGCTTGTCAGGCTTGGGGTTACTAGGATGGTGTGTGTGGAAAGTGATATTGAACCTGAAAATAAAGCTGGGGGTGGGGGAATCATATAAACAACAGCTCAAAAAGGTGATTGACTGAGGCATTTCTTAGGAAACAAACTTAGGTCATTTTGAAATCCTTCAGTACATAGACATATAAACTCATCTTCTTTTTTTTTGGGGGGGGGTGTCCATCTTTGGGCTTGAACTCAGTGCCTGGGTACTGTCCCTGAGCTTTTCTGCTCAAGGCTAGAGTTCTACCACTTGAGCTACAATTCCACTTTTGGCTTTTTGGTAATTAATTGGAGATGAGTGTCACAGACTTTCCTGCCTGGGAAGTCTTTCAACCTTGATCCTCATAGCTCAGCCTCCCGAGTAGCTAGGATTATAGGCTTGAGCCACTAGCACCTGGCTAGACATAATGCTTTTTCCCTCCCATAGGAGAACACAGCCAGTTTTTTCTTTTGTGGTTGCTAGTTGCTAGTACTGGGGCCTGAACTCGGGCCTCACACTTGCTAGGTTGGTACTCTATCACTGAGTCACATTCTAGCACAGCCACTTTGTTTTGATACTGCTTCAGTCCCAGTAGCGATCATGCCATTTCTTCTGTTTGCACAGGTATCTCCTTTGATGAGTTATCTGTACTGGCCAGGCCCAGTGGCTCAAAGCTGTAATCCCAGCTACCTGAGAGGTAGAGATTCTGAGGATCATGGTTTGAGGCTAGCCCAGGAAAAATAAAAAAACGTAGCAACACCCCATCTGAACAAGTAAACTGAGTATGATAGTACATATTTGTCATCTCCCTTATGTGGGAAGCTTTGGTAGGAGGATCACAGCTTAAGTCTGGCCCAAGCCAAAACCAGAGAACTTATCTGAAAAATAACCCAATATGTACAGAGGCTGGAGACATGGTTTGAGTGATAGAACATTTGTCCAGCAAGTGTAGTGCCCTGAGTTCAAGCCCTAGTACTGAAAAATAAAAAGTTACCTACACTTCTGTCTCTAATTCCCAACCTCTCATTCCTTCCTAAACATGTCTTCACTGGGCTATGAGCTTCATGAAAATTCTGCTCATCAGGGCCATCGCTATATCCAATGGTCAATTATCAGCCCTCATTTTCTTCCTTTTTCCCTCTCTATCTAAGCGCTTGTGACCAGCTCAAGAATTCAGTGCTATTAACAGACTGATGACTCCCACATTTACTTCTTTAGTCTAGATCTCTCACTGCAATTTTACACTTGATATTTTTACTAACTGGTATTTCCAGACTTCCACAAGGCCAATGGACAGGTAGACCTTCAAAGTAGATGGGAGTATAGGCCCTGCTCTCTGCCTGGAGTGAGCTTCTGCCACGTCCCAGTAGACAATGAACTACCTCTGGGAGGTCTCCTTCTCTGTCCTCTTTTACCCTAACCCTGCTGCGTTTGAGAGCCTTTCATAACCTAACGTAGACTAGAAACAGGCAGAGGTGCTCCATACAGATCTGATGGATTATTATAATGGTACAGGCTCATTTTCATAGATGTCAGCAATGGCGGGAAGGAAAAGACACAGGCAAGCCTGGTGGATTTCCTGGGTGTGGTATATACACCATTGTTATTTAACTGTCACGATCTTGTCCAAGACTCAGAGGAGCCCAGAATGTCTCACGGACGTATGGCTGCCACAGTGGAGTCTGACCCTGGGCTCAAACTGGCCTGCTTAAAGCTTTCTCTTAGGCAACAGTGGGGACAAGAGTTCCTTTTCTCCTCAGGTCAAAAAATCTAAAGACTCTGAGAACCACAACTTGACTTCTGTGACCCAAAATTTCACTTAATGTTTGAAAAATCTGGCAAACTTTCTTTAGAAAAAGAAACTAACATTACTTGTAAAACATTGATTCATGACCATGCAACATGTTAACATGGAAAGTATGAACTTTAAACTATTAAAATGCACTAAGGTACCTACATTCTTCATGTTTGTATAGTTTGGAGAAAATATGTTTAGTAAAACAAGAAAAGGCACACAATGAATAAAAATTAGGACAAACTACTCAGTAAGTATTTTAAAATTATTAACTTCTAGAATACCCCGATTTTTCTTCTAAGACTTCCTTATAGTTTGAAACAAGTGAATCTAAGGTAGGACTACAGAAAAGTTCCAGAAAAATTATTAGAACAAAATTAAATGCTCTATTTAACTTCACATCTTACATAATCTATGGTGTGGAAAATGTAAAGGAGGGTAATAGAAAATACTTTCATTCCAAGTCCATGTGGTGAAGAATTCGTACAGAGTGTGATTTCCTTTAAGTTAACATTGATCTGCTACCAAAGAGAGACCATTTTGAGCTTTCATAGCAAAAACAAAATAAAAATTAACGGAAATATTACAAGATTAGAACACAAAGGAAAAGGGCAAAAAAAATATTAAGATGGAAGAAGGACTATGAGGAAAGAAAGCTCTTATAACTGTTATAGTGTTTATCCTCCTGTGTGCTGTGCTGTATTGCTGTATTTGCTCACCACTGTGTGAGTTAATCTTTTGTATTTAATGCCTTCCATAGTAGGTTGGAGCCTTTTAAATGCCCATAAAACATCAGCAAAGTAACAAACTAGAAAAACTCACATTTGTTCCTCACAACTTTTTTTTTTAACTTAGGTCTCAGATAGTATGTTTTTATTCTTACATTAAGGGAAATACTTTAATGCATACCAACAAAGAACAAAACATTTTGATTGATTCAATCACACAAGCGTATTAGCTCATTAATTTAGATAGCATCTTTCTTAATAGAATTAATGGAGTGAACTAACTTATACAACAGTATTTTCATTTAAATATCAGAATACATTTATCAAAAAGTAAATGATTTCTTCTACACATCTAGCTATTTTTTATAAAAATTAGGAGCTAACATAATTGGCTTAACATAACTCCAAGTCTCCATAGAACCAACACAGGTAGTTAAGAAGAAAATGTAAAACGGAGCCATTTGGTTTGTGACATTAACTTAACATACACCACAAAGCCCCCTGAGAACACAGTGTGGAGCGTGACATTTCCTTCTGAGCATCTGTAAGTAGGTGCGCTCATGCTGCCCATATGGAAAGCATGGCCAGGGTCAAGGTCTCGGGGAAGGATACGGTCAGTGCCTTGGAAAATCACACAACCTTTCACCAGCTCTCCCATGATGCAACCCACTGACCAGATATCAACTGAAAATAAAATGAAATGATAAAATTATGAAGTGCCATGAACAAAACAAAAGTGAGGAGAAAAGGAACTCTAACGGTGTACTACACACACAAATATGGAAAAGTAAGTTGCTAGCTAGGGGTGAACCGTTTATACAGTATGAGTGATTGCTGACCTCTATTTTAGCCTTCAGTTTGCAGCAATCTGGGGCCTTAGTGCCAAAGATTCCAATGCTTTACAGCTTAAAACACACAAAAAAACAAAAACCAGAAAAAAGAAGTAGCTATGAACATAAAGCTCAGGGGCACACGCCCGTCCCACACCCAGCCAGCCAAGTGCTGGGTGTCTCCCTGTGAAGGATACAGTCTCTTCCTGGAAACAGGACTTTATGGAGGACCATTTCTGCCATGATGCACCCGACAGACCAGATGTCCACTACCAAACACCAGGTGATTAAAAGCCAGCTAGAGAGCCCCACATCTCTTTTCTCCAAACCCCCTCCCAATCAAGACCAGGCACACTACACATTAGCTTGTCAGTGGGAGCGCTGGTAAAAACCCAGCACGTCACTTTTTTCCTTTTTTCTTTTTTTTGGGGGGACGGAGGGAGGGGCACTGGACCTGGGGTTTGAACTAAGGGTCTGAGCGCTGACTCTGAGCTTTTCTGCTCAGGCTAGTGCTCTACCACTTGAGCCACAGCTCTACTTCTGGCTTTTTGGGTACTTAATTGGAGATAAAAGTCTCATGGACTTTTCCCCGGGCTGGCTTTGAACCCTGATCTTTACATCTCAGCCTCCTGAGCAGCTAGGACTATAGATGTGAGCCACCATCACTCCTGGCTGAATAATAATTTCTAAACAGCCAATCAGAAAAGAGCAGTGCTCAGGAGGCAATGGACTGGGCTCAGGGCGGGATCCAGGCTAAGCACAACAACATAGTGTTGGCCTCTCTTGTGGACCGGGCGCAACCCCATGCCTCAGTATCATTGGCAGAGGTGTCTACGTGCTGCTGTGGGTGGGCACATATGAGGGAAAGAGAATGGTGGGTTTGACTCTCTCCTCTTCTCCAGCATGCTCATGGAGCTGGGCCTCTCAGAGCAGTGGTATAGATTACAAAGCACTGAAATGAATGCACACACTCATTCCAGAAGACTCGAGCAAATGTGATCTGTTAAAAGCTAACTTTCAAAGAACACGTTGCATTATTCCATGTATAGTAAATTTAAAAAATAAGTATATTCACTCTTTGCTTTGGGAATAAGGATAATGTGTGGGTTAAGACACAGCCAGGGCACTTGGGGAAGGCCCTGGGGGTTGCTGGTTATGCGGGCACAATCAGAGCAGGATGCACACGCAGAATGTGCACACTTTTCTACTACAGGCATATTACATGTTGATTAGAAAAGGTTCAAATATATAATTTTGAAAATGAAGGATTTTAGCTAAGGGAATACAAAATTAAGAACTGACCCATGGATTGCGATAACTGATGTGCAGCATATGTTTCATATGCTTTTAAAGAGAAGAAACTAGTGAGGACCACCAGTACTAGTTTTTTGTTGTTGTTGTTGTTTTTTTGTCAGTCATGGGGCTTGAACTCAGGGCCTGAGTGCTATACCTGAGCAATTTTGCTCAAGGCTAGCATTCTACCACTTGAGCCACAGTGCCACTTCCAGTTTTCTAGTTGTTAATTGGAGATAAGGGTCTCACAGACTTTCCTGCCTGAGCTGGCTTTGAACTGCAATCCTCAGCTCTCAGCCTCCTGAGTAGCTAGGATTATAGGAATGAGCCACCGGCACCCGGCCAGTGCTAGTTTTAAGCATCACAGCTTGCATAGTTGTCTGTACTCACCATTCTCCTTGTAGCCCATGCCCAGGATGACTTCAGGGGCCCGGTAATAGCGAGTTACCACGTAGGGGGTCATCATAAAGTTGGTGCATGCTGTCCGGGCCAAGCCAAAGTCAAGGATCTTTAGGGTGCAGTCTGATTTCACTACAATGTTGCTAGGCTTCAAATCCTAGGAAAAAATTGGTTTGAATTCATAAAATGAACCAAAGATAGAGACCCAATTTCTCACAGGTGAGGAGCTGTAAGTCAGTGACTTCTGTGTACAGAAGACAGGTAGAACTAGGCAAGTTGGAACAATTTTGGAAAATCCTACTTGCAAATGTTAAACTCATATAAATTAGCTTGAAGAAGTTAGATAGGGAAGGCTTGATATACACTTGTAATCCCAGCACTTGGGAGAGGGACGCAGAAGGGTCAAAGTTCTAGGCTAGCCTACCCTTAAAGTTTGCAAGATCTTGTCCCAGACCCAAAAGAAACCAAAAGCAAAAATAAAGAAATCTCCCACTTCCATTTCTCCTTTGCTTAAAACTCAAGAGCTTGCAAACCCCTTCCCAGTCCCTGGGTCATCCTGCTCATCTCTTTTTTCTTATCTCCACCACCCATTCCGTCCTCCACATACTGCTCCTCCACCACTCCATAACCCACTCCAACCTATCAACTCATCAGTCAGGAACTGCACTGTTCAATAGAAATATAATGTGAACCAGGTTTGTAATTTATACTTTCTAATAGTCATGTTAAAAAATGTAAACAGAAACAGGTGAAATTAACTTCCATAATGTGTGTCATCTAACCCAGTATCTATACTATTATCATTGTAGATCATAACTAACACAAAACATCATTAGCGTCTCATATTCTTTTAATTATGCTAAGACTATGAAGTCAAGGATGTATTTTCTAATTATAGCCACTTCTGGCTAGTGGCTCAATGTTTGTTTGTGGCTGGAGGCTACCACACTGGATAGCCCAGGTTCAGACTTCTCTATCTCTGGAGTCTTCTTGTGGCTCTTTCTCCACTTGGAAGAGGAATTTCGCGACTGCTTATTTCAACTTTCTTCTGTCAAAAGGACTTAACACTCTACCACCCATGTCACTGGCTCCACAGACTGGATGTAATACATTAAATACCTGTTCTTTTTTTTTTTTTTTTGATTTTGGGTCTTGGGCCTAGGCACTGTCCTTGAACTTTTTCACTCAAGGCTAGAGTTCTACCACTTTGAGCCGCAGTGCCACTTCTGGTTTTCTGGCAGTTAACTGGAGATGAGTCTCACAAACTTTCCTGCCTGGGCTGGCTTTGAATTGCAATCCTCAGGTCTCAGCCTCCTAAATAGCTAGAATTATAGGCATGAGTCACTGGCACCTGGCAAATCCTGTTCTTTTTACTGGCTCCTACACCTCTTCCCTGACTGTGGGAAGACATAGTTCTCTCACTGTTCCCCAAGACTCAGAAGCCTTACCTGGCATAGAGGACACTGAGAAAATGTTGAATCAATGCACATACTCAACGACATTTTTCAACACCTAACACAATAACTCTATCCCCTCCTCCCCCCATAACATAAGGGCCTTCCTTTGCACTGATGCTCACACTGTAGGCCCTCCCTCAAGCTTCAGAAATCTGACTGCCCAGCTTGTACATTCACCTTAGAAACTGTTACTTCTAAATAACTTCCATCTTTTCTCCTCACAGTATTCAACTATGTAGCTTAAAGTCAAATTGGAGGGTTACTGCCACATGGTTACCTCACGGGTACTTAAAAGTGTGAATCTTAGCACCTGACTGGAAAGCTTCCCAAGTGACAGGCCACAAAGGTGTTGCAGGGATGCCTCAAGATGATGATGCTGTGAAGTTGTTCCCAGGATATGCTGAGAACCTATTAAAATCTATAAAAACTGCAATTATGCTTTAATACTGTCAGATGCTCTCTCCGAAACTCCCTGAATCCAGTGACATTTGAATGGGAAATTGATAAATTGATATTTAAAATGCAATAAAACAAATGTCTGGCTGCGGATGTTGATCAAGTGGTAGAGCACTTGCCTAGCAAGCATAAGGCCCTGGTTCAATCTTAAGCGCATGCGCGCGCACACACACACACACACACACACACAGATACATACACACATACAAACACACACACACACACACACACACACACACACACACACACACACACACACACACACACACACACAGAATGCAACCAAATTTCTACCAGGCCATCTACAGAGGTCCTCCAGCCACTTTAGTCCACCTGCAAGTATTGTGCAAATACTTCCATTTCTCAGTATCAGCTGGAGATTGGTTCTAAGATTTCCATGGATATAAAAGCCCAAAGACCCTCAAGTCCCTTATATAAAATAATACTATGTTCTATGCATATCATCTTGTATACTTTAAATCATCTCTAGATGAATTATAATGCCTAATACACTGGAAACGCTATGCAAATAGCAGTTACATTGTATATTTTGGGGAATACTGACAAAAATGTTTGTATGTGTTCAGTACGATGTTTTTTGTTTTCCAAATATTTTTATTTGCAGACAGCTGAATGCATAAATTTAATAAAATTAAAGGTATATATCATTAAGAGGAGAAATAGAATGGCTTGTTAGGAATCTTTTATTTTTAATTTAGGAGCCTAGTGTTGTTTTTAAAGTGAACGTACCACCACAATTTGTATCATTTGAACTCACCACTAGGTGGCAGCAAAGGCTTCACTTTAGAATAACAACTCTGGAGGCCAGACTGATGCTTATCAGCATACAAGGCCCCAGGAGAATGGGATATGGACTCCTCTCCTGGCCTTGTGCCACAGACTCGAGGCTCCCAGGAGGGGCCATGTCTCTGCTTTTCCTGGGTGAATGACTCCACCACCGCAGGAGGCCTCCATTTAGTGGCTGTGATGGACCGACCTTTCCTGGCACCTGAGATATCAGGAGGAATTAATACTGTTAAACCTCTGAATGCTTCTCTATTAACAGGCATCACTGTCCTTGTTCCCACTACTTCCTTTCCCACACAGACTTCAGGTCAGAGAAGAGGCTCTTACTGCTGGGAATGATCTAGATAGATCTAGACAGCCTGTCAATAAAATTAGCATAGTAGTAATTCAAGGAATGCTAAGAATACTGGTTTTCAATAATACTGTATTTCTCTGCCTTCAGTCTCAACATTTTAAGTGCTTAAAGATTCTACGATGGTCTGCTTTATATAGCAATACAAAAAATTATAAAAATAGCTTAGAAAATTATATTATACCTCCCTGTTTTTTTTGTTTTTGTTTTTTTTTTCCCTTGCTGGTACAAGGTTTGAACGTAGGGCCTCACATTTGTTCAGTATGCTTGCTTGGCTGGCAATCTACCACTTGAGATATGCCTCCAGTCCTGCTTTCTGCTTATTTTGGAGATAGCGTCATTCAGACTTTTCTGCACAGACTGGCCTCAAACTCTGATCCTTCAGTTCTCAAGTTTCCTTGGCAGCTAGAATTTCAGGACTGAGCCACTGGCATCTGGCTTTCCTGTTTCATTGTTTTGTTTTTTTGTTTTTTGCTGGTCATGGGGCTTGAACTCTGGGCCTGAATGCTGTCCCTCAGCTCTTCAGTTCAATGCAAGTGCTATACCACTTGTGCCACTTCCGGTTTCCTGAATGATTTATTGGAGATAAGAGTCTCACAGATTTCCCTGCCCAGGCTGGCTTTGAACCGTGATCCTCAGATCTCAGCCTCCTAAGTAGCTAGGATTACAGATGTGAGCCACTGGTGCCTGGCAGCTTTCCTGTTTTTTAAATTCTGCTACCCGACAGTGCTGGCAGTATCTTCATACTTATCTTCATAATTTTCTCTTTATTTTCCTTGATCATTACAAAAGGGATTTTTTAAAAAACAGAGTAAAGGGTATTTGGGAGTTCTTTGTCCTATTCTTGCAGTTTTCTCAAAGTTTTAAGCTACTTTAAAATTTAAAAAAAAAAAATTTTTTTTTGTGTAGAAAAAGATATGTCTATAGTGCTGGCTTACACAGGGACTGGACAAGCTAGGTACTCCACAAACGCTTTCTCATCTGGCTGTTGTTTTGAAACACATGATTTGATAGTTTATTTGAATTTTCAATATTGCCAAATTTAAAACAAAGTTCTTCTCTATCTAAAGGATTATAATAACTGAATGTTACTTTAAAAATAAAATCATTATGTCATTACTTACTCTATGAATGATACCAGCTGAATGCAGATGTTTAATACCACAGAGCATCTGGTAGAGAAGGTAGGACATTCTTTCATGGTCCAGCTCCATATGAATAACCTGACATAAGTTAGCATCCATTAATTCCATAACCAAATACCTGAGGATAAAAAATCAGCCATTACATGACAATGACACCAAATTCCTTATGGTTATTCAATCAAACATTTTATGAAACAGTAATAGCTCACTATCTAATCACTCAATTAGCTAAAGTAAAAAAAAAACTCAATGCATTTTTAAGGAGTATTTGGAAAGAAAATTTAACTGTGTAAAAATTTTCCAAAGAATGTATTTTTCAAGTTAAAAATCAAACATTATCTCTATCATGGCAAATAAAATTTTGCACAAATTTTCCTACTTGTTTTTCCTCTACTTGATCATTCTTGCCAGCATTAAGCCATGCTGGTAAGAAACACAACATTTATAAAGAAAGTCTTAACAAATGCCCTATTCTGGTGGAGGACACTGATAACTGGGAGTAAGCAGGGGGAGGGGAGGACATGTGGGAACTCCTATCTTCTGCTAAATTTTGCTATGCATCTGAATTGCTCTAAAAGTAAGAGTTTGTTTTTAAAAAGTGATCATAAGAGGAAAAGAAAACTTCCAACCTCACTTCCCCACAAGTTTCCTCTCCATTTCAATGTCCAGTCTCTTTCCTTAACCTTATTATCCACCATAATCTCTCATGTGGATAGCTGCAGAAGCCTCTGTTCCTAATTGGGTTTCTGTGTCTCCACTTTACAGAGGTTTCTACTCAGAAACCAGTTATTCTTCTAAAAAAAAAACAAGCCAGGCAAGCTAATAACTCTACCGGAAATCTTACTCTGACTTGCCTTAGTAACCTAGGGGCCCCTGTAATGTCCATCTTCTCCTCCTGCTCTACTGGCCACATTGGCTTCTTGACTGGCACACGAAGCATGTTCTACTGCTGCTCTGCCCCGACCATCTCCCTTGATCTCCACTCCACCTCACCACAAAGACCTCTGGGACTAACTCATCTCCTCCAAGACTTCCTTTACATATCACCAACTTACTGAGGTCTTTCCCCAACTAGCCTGTCATGGTTCATTTTGAGTGTCAACTTGAACAGATCAGGGAATACTTTACCTAGAAGCCTGCTAGAGCCTTATTTAGGGTTTGTGTGGGAAGGTGTTTGTAGAGGTGATAAGTATGTGAGTCTGAATGTGGGTGTGTGACATCCAATCAGCCAAGGGCTGCAACTGGTTAACTAGTCTCTTCTACATGAGCTGAGACAGACTTCTACTGCTGGCTTTGGACATCAGAACTGTGGGCTCCCTAGTTCTAGGACTAAGACACCAGTGGTCTCTGAGGTTCTCAAGCATTGGGTCTTAGATGGAAAGGTATACACTGGCTTCTCTAGCTCTGTGGCCTTTGCATTTAGAGCAAGCCATGATAGCATCTCAGCTGCTACCTCACAGAAGGCTCCCCCTCCCCCATCTCTCTCTCTTTCCCTCCCTTTCACTCTCTCTCTCCCCTACTGGCTCTCTCTGGAGAACCCTTCCTATTTAAAATTGTAGCATGAATCCCAACCTCCCAACACTAACCCAGCTTGACTTTTTATCCAAACACTGAATATATTCTAGGGAACTACATACTTTCCTTACCTATTTATTATCTTTCTTCTCTGGCAGAATCTAGGAGGGTGTTGGCTACCTAAAATTTGTAATAAAGGGAATTTTGCTTCCATTTGTCACTAAGGTACACTAACTCCAAAAGAGCATATAGCACGTGGTGAACAATCATTTGTTCTATGATTGAATACACCAATAAATGTAGGATCAAGTTGAACATCAATATGGTAGACTATTATTTCATCTCACTGCTAGCAAGGAAAGCTGGGAGGCTGGATTGGGAGGATTGTGGTTCGTGGCCAGCTCAGGCAGAAATGTTTTTGAGACTTCTTCCCAACAGGTGGTGTACACCTGTTATTCTACCTACACTAAGAATCCTAAAACAGGCAGATTGTGGCTCAGGCTAGTGCCTGGGCAGGAAGCCATTTTCTCAGAAATAACTAGTACAAAAAGGGCTTAAGAGGTGTGTCCTAGCAAGTATAAGATCCTGAGATCAAACTGAAAAAAAAAAGTCTATAAAACACAGACTATTTAATGACACAATCATTTCAAGTAATACTCATAAACACCTATCGAGAACTGAAGAAAATTTTGTAGTTCAGTAAAATAGAGTAGACACATCAATGGTCACTGCCTGCTCTGAGGAATTCTCTGCATTTATCTTTGATCAGTCATAGGAGTAAGAGAATTCTAGGCAAAACAAAGTAAATATTAATACCCCCCTTTTTTGTAGCGTCATTCATAGATAAAAGAGTATCTATGGTATCGTTAAGAAATGGACGGCCTCCTACATTTCCTAAATACTAGAAATTGGCTACTTCTCTAAATTTTTTCCATCTTTGATACAATTGATACTTACACATCTTGAAATTCTTCTAGAGTTTTTTGTGGTGTAAACACGTTTAACAAACTAATTATCTGAAAAGAGAAAATTAAATATACTTCAGTATACCAAATGACTCTACTGGATTACAAAAATTTAGCTGAATATTAAAATGTATTAAAACAAAAAAATCACATAACAGTAGAACTCAATTATTATTATTATCATGGCTGTTACCAAAACATTCTATTTGATGGCATTTGAGAAATGTCAAACATCAACTGAAAACAAGATGTACTTTTAGTCAAGTTCCTCTTATGTGTCCCTAGTAACTTAAAACTTAAGTACTGTTAGAAACTGTACTGTACGAGTTTCTAAAATATTTTGAAATATGAAGACTAAACTTGTGGTTTGGCATTATATACTTCCTTTTGAGGAAAGGCTTAAAGAGCTGACCCCATTGTCACCCCTTATGAGTCACACTGCTTTAAACCTACATCCTCAGTCATCTCAAATGACCAAGAAAGAGATGAATTGTTCAATCTATACAATTGGGATTATTGGTTAGTGAAAGAGAAAAAAAAAACCTGCATCTATTCTTCAATCTTCAAACCAAAATCAACTAAAAATTGAACAAAGGTTTAATCCTAAAACTACAAAAACATTATAATATGGATAAATGGTTATGGTATCCTGGTATAGAAAAATCTTTTCAGCCGGGTGCCAGTGGCTCATGTCTATAATCCTATCTACTCAAGAGGCAGAGATCTGAGGATTGTGATTCAAAGCCAGTCCAGGCAGGAAAAGTCCATGAGACTCTTATCTCTAATTAATTATTTTTTTAAAAAATATTAAGTGAAGCTGTGACTCAAGTGGTAGAGCAATAGATGTGATAAAACATAAAATTAAACACCTCAGGGACAGGACTGAGGTCCTGAGTTCAAGGCCCAGGACTGGGACATACACACCTCAGGGATAGTCCCCAGGTCCTGAGTTCAAGCCCCAGGACCGGCGCGCGCACGCACGCACACACACACACACACACACACACACACACACACACACAGGCTTGGAGGTGTGATTCAAGTGGAAAAGTACCAACTAAATAAACAAAACTGAACGAACATGAGGGTTTGGGTTCAAACCCTAGTAGTGTCAAAAAATTTAAACACACATTGGAGAAACTAAAGCCAAGTCAAACCACAGATTCAAAACAATAAACCAAACTTTCATATCTAGTATCTCTATACCAGAAAGAGCCATAAAAAGTTAAAACATCTAATCTTCCATATTAATCTTAAATATTTAATCTTGAATATCATTGATACCTAAAATATTAATCTTAAGTATTCTTAAAAAAGACAAAAATAAAGGAGAGGTTTTAGCTGGGTGCCAGTAGCTCACACCTATAATCCTAGCTACTCAGTAGGTTGAGATCTGAGGATCAGGGATCAAAGCCAGCCCAGGCAAGGAAAGTCCATGAGACTCTTATTTCCAATAAACCACTCAGAAAACCTGGAAGAGGGGCTGTGGTTCAAGTGGTAGAGTGCTTGCCTTGAGCTGAAGAGCTGAGGGACAGTGCCCAGGCCCAGAGTTCAAGCCCTACAACTGACAAAAAAAAAAAAAAAAAGAGGTTTTAAGTTGACCTCTCAAACCTCTTCCAAATTCACATTTTATGATGTCCCCATAGGGTAAGGTTATCAAATTAACACTAAGAAGATCACTAGTAAGACATGCAGTGGTAGAGCTAGCCTTGAGTGGAAGAGCTGAGTGACAGTGCCCAGGCCCAGATTTTAAGCCCCATGACTGCACCCCCCCCCACTTCCCTACCCCTCCTCACACCTCCCCACCCCCGCCAAAAAAAATTTATAGGTAGATAAAATGTTTTTTTCTTTTCTTTTTTTTTGTTGGTCATGGGGCTTGAACTCTGGACCTGGGCATCATCCCTGAGCTCTTCAGCTCAAGGCTAGTGCTCTACCACTTGAGCCACAGCGCCACTTCCAGTTTTCTGGTGGTTTATTGGAGATAAAAGTCGCACAGACTTTCCTGCCCAGGCTGGCTTTGAACCGTGATTCTCAGATCTCAGCCTCCTGATTAGCTAGGATTACAGGCGTGAGCCACTGGTGCCCAGCAAAATATAATGATTTTAATAGTCATTCTTAACCTAGGTCTGAACTCAGCCCATCTCCCAAAGAACTTGAGTTATCACATGGCTGAGAGTATCAAGGCCTATGGGGGAAACACAGACATAACTTACATTTTTATGATTGACACATTTTAAGAGGACAAGTTCACGATAAGCTCTCTTTGCATGCGTTTGATTCTGAAAAGGACGGCTTAGTTTCTTGACTGCAACATTTATTCCAAGAACTGTATCAAAAGCAGCACTATAATTAGGAAATAGAAGTAAATAATTGATTAGGATGGCTTTAATAAACATAGCAATGGAGAACACAACATTCAACATATCATCTTTTAAAATGAGTGAACAAATCAGGAAAGATGTTCTGCTTGTTTCCCATCAAGGTAGAAGTGCATATGAAGAGGAGTGAGTGGGAGCTGGCTAGGACTGCAGAAGCGACTTAGTCCTCTGCAGATGCAGGGGTGACCTTTCATCCACAGTTTGGGTGGCATTCCACAATTCTTTGCACATGGAATTTTCACTTGAGAAGATGAAATTATTTTAAGATTACTATGTTTAAAACCAGGTAATATTTTCTTTTTTATTTTGGGATGTGTGTGTGTGTGTGTGTGTGTGTGTGTGTGTGTGTGTGCCCACGGACCAGTTCTGAGGCTTGGGCTGGGTGCTGTCCAGTGCTCTACCACTTGATTCACAGTTCTACTTCTGGTTTCTTTCTCATTAATTTGACGTATAAGTCTTCCCTTTCCCAGCCTTGTGCTTGGCTTACAGCTGGGGTATCATCACTTGAGCCATGCCCCCAGTTCTGGCTTTTGCTGGCCTAGACTGGCTCCAAGTTGTGATGCTCAGCCTCTTGAGTAGCTAGGATTATAGGTGTAAGCCACTGGCACCCAGCAGAGCTAGGTAATTTAAGCAGAGCCAGGTAGTTTAATACAGAGAATGTAAGGCCAAGAAATTAAATCCTCAGTTCAAATAGGTCAAGATAATGAACAATAATTGTAACTTGACTTACAGAATTATAACCTCTTTGCACAACTATAGTACTTAACAATAAAATTTAAAAAATAATTATCACTGATTACATGTAAGTACATTTTGGAATTATCAGAGTAACAAAGTAAAAAGTTAAACTCATGGAAAGAATGCAACAAATCTAAGTTTTGATTGATTGTGTTTTTCCCAGACAAAAGAATCTAAAAAGAAAATATAAGACAAAAATCTCATGGTAAATACCTAAGATACAAAAAAAATCTCTGATGTAAGCAATAGCTATATATAAAATGCTGCTGGAAATACCTCTTCCCACTAGTAAGAATAGAACCTACAGCCTGTGTTTCCTGCATCCCAAGTTCTCTGAGATTTAGTGTTCATTTCCCTCCAGAAATTAAGCACGGAAAATAGTTGCCTAACTACCACCATTCAAGTTCCAACTTAGCACTAAATAGCTTAGTGTTATTTCCTTTGACCCCTCATCAGGAGTTCAAAGGTGCCGAAGACCATGTGAGACACTAGGTGGAGCTTTTAAATTGCTTCTGCGTACTTATTTTATTAATTTATAACACTGTGTACACTTGCTCTTTTCTGTTAATAATGCTTCTGGGCCAAACAACTCCTAATTTAACTAAATCTATTTTAAGTTGAAGGTTGTTTATTGTAGCATTTGGTAAGGATTATTAGAAACATCATTTTAATTCAGTTCATATGTACATTTACACATATGTAAATTCCTTAGCCCATCTACAGATACATCATTCCATATGAATCATAATACACTGAAGGAAAATCAACTTGGAAAATAAATAACTTGTGTACAATACACATGTGTATTTGCTTCTCCGACTCAAGAATCTGAAAACATATATTTTTCTGGTCTCAAAAACCCATACATTTTTCTGGTCAAAGTTTCAGTTACACAGGAGTTATGGGTAAGTTCAAGAGCTCAACTATTCAATACAGTATCCATAGTTAAAAACAATGTATTGTTTTCTCAAAAACTGCTCAACAACAGATTTTAAGTGTTCTCACCACAGAAAACATGTTTGTGAGGTAGTACGCATGTAAATTAGATCAATTTATTCTACTACATATACATGTTTTAAACATGTTGTACATGATAAAAACATGTACTTTCTATTCTTTAAAAAGTTATAAAAAAAATGATTCAAAGGGTCCAATTCTATGCATCTGAATAGACACAGGCTTCTCTAACTCCTAGTTCCAACTTCAAAAGCAATGATCTTCAATTATTCATGGTCACTTTGTAATCTCTCTTAAACCAAAAAGCATATATTTTATCCTGATTTTATTCATTTATCTAGTTGAAAAAACAACTACTTATTCCATAGGAAGAGAATTAAACTACTTATTTGAGATTCCCCCATGCTTGCCAGTTTTGTTCTTGTGTTATTTTTAGGTTTTCCTTTGTAACTTTAAATAGCATGCCTAAACTTACTCCACCAACTTTCCAAGGAATCTCTTGACCCACCCCCACAGTAGGTAAAGTGAGACCAGTATATTCTATCCCCGTTCTCTTTCTTTATTCTCTCATTTCCTCTAAACTTGTGGCTTAAATGGTCAAGCTTGCCAACACATGTTTCTTATGTACATATTAAGTCTCCTGTGTTCTTTAGGATGTGTCTAAAAATTGAACACCATAATATTGCATGTATATATACATATATATATATATATGTATACATACACATATATGCTTTCATTTTCCAAGACCACTCACACCAAAAAATGGTTTCCAGAATCAAGGAGAAATGGGCTTTATTTTCTTATATTCTATCAGTCACTAAAACATTAGAGCCTTTGAAATTTCTTTCATATTTAGATCATGGCTTTTTCTATCTTACCCCACCACAAGTTTCTAATAAATTTTTTCTTATTATTAGAGAAGAAAAATGCCTCTTTTGAAGTGTTACCATCAGTACTTGCTAATTTCTTGTTCATAGTATTTATTGTTTAGAATCTCTGGGGACATTTTCTTGGAGGGTCTGCAGCCTGACACTATATAAACCTAACACTGCTCTAATCCCTAGGATTTCTTTCACAGGCCTTCACTGTGTCTTTTATTATATGTTCTTGTTAGGTCTTACTTGTTGGAATACATCTTTAAGAACTATTTGCTACCCCCACCCCTGAAAAAGCACATGGAAGATAAATGATCATAGTCTGCCATCATCCTTGATAGTTGGAACTAAAAATCAATTTTCTTGCAAAACTTTAAGTTCATTGCTTTGCTGGATTTCAGCATGTCTTTTTTCTTTCCTGTCTTTTCTTTCTTTCTTTTTTTTTTTTTTTTTTGGTGCTGGTACTGGGGCTTGAATTCAGGGTTTTCACTTTCATTCAACTTTGTCACTCAAGGCTGGTGCTCTACTACTTGAGCCATGCCTTAACTAGCAGCTTTTGCTGGTTAACTGGAGATAAGAGTCTCCTGATTTGTCTGCTGCCTGAGCTGGCTGCAAACTGAGATTCTCAGGTGTCAATTTCTCAAGCTGCTAGGATTATAAGTCAGCCATTCCTTTGCTTTGGGCTCCTCAGCTCAATGACTTATCACAGTCATGTCTGTCGGTGTCTCAAAAGTCCCTTGAGATCCCTTCCAATTACTATCCCTCCTGTTCACCAAAGGTAATAACTACTTCTGACTTTTACCATTTCTTAAATTGTACTAGTACTTGGGTTTAAACTCAGGTCCTCACACTTGCTTGGCTTGCTAGCTTGGCTGGCACTCTACCACTTGAGCTGTGCCTACAGCTCTGACCTGTCTGATAATCACTTCCCTGCCTTGACCAGCCGAACAGGTTTATTTTGTTTTGTTTTGCCAGTCCTGGGGCTTGAACTCAGGGCCTGGGCACTGTCCCTGAGCCTCTTTTGCTCAAGACTAGCACTCTACCACTTGAGTCACAGTGCCACTTCTGGCCTTTTCTGTGTATGTGATATTGAGGAATTGAACCCAGGTCTTCATGCATTCTCCCACTAAGCCACATTCCCAGCCTCTAAACATGAATTTTTAACCACCTCTTTCCTCCACTCTTCCCCAGTAGCTTCTAGGAAAAGATAATTACGAGTGAAAAAGAATACTGGATTTGGGAATCTCAGAACTAGACCTGTGAGGAATTAGATTCTACCAAAAACCTCAAGGAGCTTGGGAACAGATTTTTCCCCTGAGGCTCCACAAAAAAGCCTAGCCCAGCTAACATGTTGACTTTAGTCTTCAATGGGATGCTGAGCAGAAAATATCATCTTACAGTTCAGGATGAAGAAGTCTATGGATACTATGGGGCTAAAACCAAGAGGCTGGTGGAACTGTACCACTCCTGGAGGGTCAAGGAGGAGAATCTATTCCCCTGTCCTTTCTGGTTTTGAGGCTTCACTCCTGGCTCTGTATCACTCCACACTCTCTGTTATCACACTTCCTCCTCTTACCATGAACCTCTGGTCTTCTTTCTTTCTTTTTTTTTTTTTGGTCCGGTCGTGGGGCCTGAACTCTGGGCCTGGGCGCTGTCCCTCAGCTCTTCAGCTCAAGGCTAGCGCTCTACCACTTGAGCCACAGCGCCATTTCCGGCTTTTTTCTTTTTGCTTATGTGGTGCTGAGGAATCGAACCCAGGGCCTCATGCATGCAAGGCAAGCGCTCTACCACTGAGCCACCTTCCCAGCCCCTGGTCTTCTTTCTGTAAGAACACTGTCTCAGTGATGTTGCACCCACTGTGCTGGGTAGCCTTCCCCTCCCCCCAAGATCATTAATTTAATTAAACCCACAAATTTTCTTTTGTCATGTAACATTCACAGCATCCAAGAATTAGGATATGGATGCCCACACACTGTTTTGGTCCATTACGCTCCCCTAGAGACTCACTGATGGATGATTTTTAAAGAATAAAAAATAAAGTCAATTAATAATAAAATGGTAATATTTTAATAAGCAATTACAGAAAATCCAATTCCTATTGTTGAGGTAGTAGCTAACCTATTGCTAAGTTTCTTTTAGCAAAAGTACTCTTTGTTTTACTTAAACAGGAATATGCCATTAGCAGATTAGACAGGATGGATACAAAAGAAAACAAGGGAACAAGAAGACAAAACCACGTCTAAAGTGTTTACTTTCCCAAGTGAGAACCTAAGCTAGGAGGATACCATGAAACTGAAGGTCAATTATAGCTTAAAAAATTAAAACATTTCTTAAATGTCATAGTTGTTCTATCAAAAATAAATACAGTGAATTGAGACATTCAAATAAGGCACTTAATAAATACTTAATTACTCATTATTGCTAAGATTTTAAATAGAAATTAGCCTAGAGTCCTGATCATACCAAAAATGATCAATAGTTCAAAGGCATAGACAAGCTTTACCTCAGGAAAAGCAGTAAGGTCTCCAGAGACCAATAGATGGAACCTAACACCCTGTGAGATAGGGAGAAGTCCAATGAGGCTGAGTTCTTAACAGCACCATTAATACAGTGAGGATTACAGCAGAGCTCACAGTAATTGGGTAATATTCACCATTTATATTACTTCTAATCTTCAAAAACAAGTGAATGGCCAATTAGGATAAAGGAAGCCCATATTTAAAATGGCAGCCTATCTACAGCTATAAAATGAATTCCTCCAGACCACTGATATTTGTTACTTCTCATTTCTTCTTCCCTTCCTCTTCCCTCCTTTCTTCACCTCTGTCTTTTTCTCTTTCTGGCTCTGTCTGTCTCTCTCATCAAATTATGTGTGTTAAGTTACCATCTAAGAAAGAGATTATAAATCAAAAGAATGTTTTATCATTCAAAATCTTTATTAACATCAAAGTTTCCAAATCTGGACCATCGACTGACTTTAAATTTTAACTTGGTGCAAGGGATTCATGTACAATAAATTCAAAATCTGTACTGCTTCAAGATCTGAAACTTTCTGAGCACTGACAGAACTTTTGGATTAGGGATGCTCCATCAGTAATGTCTATAAAATATTCCAAAATCTAAAAATTAAAATAAAAATCAGAAACCCAGAAATATTTTTGCCCCCAAGCATTTCAGATAAGGGGTATTCTGCCTGTACCAAGTTAGCATGCTATCATTTGGAAGTTAAGACTATCACTATTTTGGATAGAAACTAGGTATTCTTTCCAATCACTTCTCACTTGCTAGGTGAGTGAATTGTAAACTTCTCAATCATATGTCTCTGCAACAGAGGATAAAACTGGATTTCATAAATTCTGTAATTTTAGGATTACATAAAAAAAAAAAAAAACCACTGATTAAGATTCTCTAAATTCAGCCTCTTTACACGCACACATAATCCACAGCCACAACACCCAATAATGTACTTATACCTTCAACCTTCTCTGCCTACTAGCTATAAACAGATTCTTGGCTTTACTACAGGTTCTTTTAGAGATAAAGAGAATCCTGTATTTATTGACTAAAAAGAAAAAAAAAATCACTGAGAAAAATTAGGGATAAAATGCTTGAGAAGAGCTGGTAACTGTAGTCTAGAAAACAGGTGAAAACTTTACCTTTAGCTGGCAGTGATGTTGCAGCAGCTGACTGTCTTACCATGCAAGAGACTAAGGTTCAGGGTCAGACCAACGGTTCTGACGTCCTGGGCTGGACACATAGTTGAAGAGAGACACCAAGGAAGAGACGGCCAGCCCAACCCCTCACACAGCATCCCTTCCTGGTTAATCCATGGTGTGATAATGACACTGACTGGCCTCATCCTGCCAATGAATGGCAAGGCACGGCAATGATGGCGCCTAGAAATGAATAGGAGTGATTGGGAATAAAAGGGGGAGGGGAGGAAAAGGTGGCCATGATGAAGAAATGAATAAAACTCCAAATTTCTGTTATACCTCACTGTCATACCTAGTACTCTGCTATTATAATGACAGGGCAAATGAATAACAACAAAAAAAAAACTGAAAAGAAAAGAAAAAAAAAAGCAAAAGAAAATTGCTACCTATTTAAGTTTATGAAGCATTCTAAGGATTTGGATGTGTATCCTATCACCTGACTACATATAACTATAGCAAGACTTGATTCAATTAGCTTTAATTTATTTTTTTCTAAGTTTTCAATGATTTAGTTTTACTTTTTCTTACAGGAAAAATTCAATCCACAGTAATGAAATAGCCCATACTTACCAAACAATTCCTTGGGCTCCAGAGCCAATTGGTTTCAATTGCTGGTAACGTTTCAGGACAGTGAAAGTTGAGTCTGCCACCTGCACGCTGTAAAACTGACTGTCACATTTACTGTCACTCATGATGTAGTGTCATACAGTATTCCGGGAGCCAGTATGCTGTCAGGTTCCTTAGATGAGAAACAGAAGGAACATACATCCTTACTGAATTATACATATACAGTTCACCAAACAGTATTTCAGGTTCATTGGAATGTAAGACAATGTGGCTCTAAGTCTGATGGAGTTCTGAACTTAAGCGAGGCCTCAAAGACTCCCAAAAGCCCCAAGCCATTTCAGTGGCCCAAGACTGTTATTAAAGGAAAGAATCTTAAGGTCCTCCTGCAAGGCCGTATTTTAGGAATTTTAGATTAGAAAATAACCCCCTTCGGAGAAAAGAATTCACATATTATTACTAGCCATGCTGAGACTATTACGTCGGTAAATGCTTCTCATCAGTTTGTTTCCTGTGGGACTAGTTTATAGAAAGCTTAAGCAGGGATGGGGTATTCTTTCAGAATGACCTCTTCTAGAGGCCCTGAAGATTTCTGCTAAGTCTAAAGATTCAGGTTAAAGTGATGAATCTGAAAGCAAGTTTCATAAGCCAAAGTGAAGGGCAGTTACAAGACTGGTGACATTGGTGTGAGCTCAGCATACCCTGAATGGGCCCTATTCATGAGAGTAGGCTGAAACTGGCCTGCAGCCCCTCTTATCCATACGCTCTGCTCTATTCTATAGTAAAAGAACACTGACGCTAGAAAGCTTATTCACAAATGTGAGTATAAAGGAGTAGTGGCGGAAAGCAGTTTTTCTGTGGTTTAGGCAACAGGCTGATTCCACTCTGCAAGAGTCTAGATGAAAGAAAGAAAACAAGCAAATATTTACTTGGTTCCCTGGTTGTTGTCCAGCAAGGTTTACTGAAAGTCTAGCAAGCTGGTTTTTTTTTTTTTTTTAATAAAAAACTTAAAAGCCAACAATGGAATCATGCAGGTAAATATTCACAGTGTTTAAAAACACAGAATTAAAATTTTTCTACAGCGCCATCACATCCTGACTTTGTTCTACCACCTAATAATGAATGCCTACCAGATTAACTTTTCTGTAATGATGATTTATGTTTTGACACAATGATGCCCAACATGTCTTTTAAACATAGAAACAAGTTAGTAACAGCCTAAACAAAGACTTTTAGTCAAATGAGTAGTTTCTTCAATTGTCCATTGTGCCACTTTTTTTTTTTCTTGGGTTAGTTTAACCAGTCATTCCTGATGAGAGCCATTGGCACACCTGGCCAGGAAGTGCCCCCAGGGAAGAACTGCACCAGATGCCAAACAAACAGGACTGCACACACCAACCCCCACAGCAGGATGGGCAGTCACAACTCATGCTGGAGCAATCCAAGGCTTCAAGGAGCTAGAACACTGGCTGAGGCCATCCTGATAATGAGGAAGGCCTCAGAAGTTGCCCCAGGCCATTGTAGCCTAAGCTCCAGGAGGATGGGCACAGATCATTCTCACTCAGCATAGCATCTCTCAGTCCAAGGACAGGACAGGGAGGCCTGGTTTCTGGGACAGTGATCTGACCCACACTCCCAACATTCCCCACAATGCTGGGACATTCTAGTGACATCTGAAAGTGTGTGTGTGCCAAACCTGGGGCTTGAACTCAGGGTCTGGACACTGTCCTGAGCTTCTTTTGCTCAAGGCTAGCACTCTACCACTTGAGCCACAGCACCACTGCCAGCTTTTTCTGTGTATGTGGTACTGAGGAATCGAACCCAGAGCTTCATGCATGCTAGGCAAGCACTCTACCACTAAGCCACATTCCCAGCCCTGAAAGGTATCTTTAAAAAAAATAAATAAATAAAAGATTACAGATGGCGTGGGACGTCTGGCTTCGGAGCTGTTATCCTTCTTGTGATAGCCAGGAAAGAGCGAATAGAAAATGGGTGATATTAAGAAAGGCAAGAAGATTTTTGCTCAGAAGTGTGCCCAGTGCCACACCGTTGAAAAGAGAGGCAAGCACAGACTGGGCCTAATCTCCACGGTCTGTTTGGTGGGAAGACTGGTCAAGCAGCTGGATTCGCTTACACAGATGCCAACAAGAACAAAGACATCACCTGGGGAGAGGATACACTGATGGAGTATTTGGAGAATCCCAAAAAGGACATCCCTGGAACAAAAATGATCTTCAGTGGCATTAAGAGAGAACGGGCAGATTTGATGGCTTATCTCAAAAAAGCTACAAATCATTAATAGCCACTGCCTTATTTATTGCAAAACAAATGTCTCATGGCTTTTTACTGTGTACCATAATTCAATTGATCTCTAATATCAGATTTCAGATCATGTATGGCTGGCAGAATATTTTTGGGCAGTTCTGATTTAAGCCTGATTTAAGTCCTGATTTAGCCTGGTTTATGGCTAAGTAAATATAATTTTAAAAAACTTTTTCCCCCTTTCTGTCATATGATTGGACTTACTAATGTTCAATTTTTCAGAAAGATAGGATAATACCATCTCCAAATCTGTTAAAGATTGGTTTTATATTCAGATTTATATAGCTAATTATGAGAAGATCTTTAAATACCTAGAAAATCCCTTTACTGTCTCAGAATCAAGCAAAATTAATCTGTTAAAGGCAATGGCTGAAGATGAGAAACAATGTCTATATTTTTGGTCTTGACTATGCCAATTTAATTAGAATTCCCTTTCTCTGAAATCTGCCTTTTACTTATTCAAAGGCATTTTAGTGTGGCTTATGTATAAATGTCAAATGAATATTTAATACTTGTCACATTTTATAGTTGGTCTATAAGTACAGATGCTTTTAAAAGTGACTGTGACAGATACAATATGGACTTTATTTTTTAATTCTTTTTTTTGGGGGGGGGTCTGGTCGTGGGGCCTGAACTCTGGGCCTGGGCGCTGTCCCTCAGCTCTTCAGCTCAAGGCTAGCGCTCTACCGCTTGAGCCACAGCGCCATTTCCGGCTTTTTTCTTTTTGCTTATGTGGTGCTGAGGAAGCGAACTCAGGACCTCATGCTTGCAAGGCGAGCGCTCTACCACTGAGCCACCTTCCCAGCCCTATTTTTTAATTCTTTACTAAGACAGACTAAGTTATAATTCAGGATTTTCTTTATGCAGCTGTTCAAAAACACAAAATTGTGGAACTACTGTGTGTGTGATTGATAGTGGTGCTTTTTGTCAACTTCTTAAGAGAAAAGGTTTCAGGTAGAGGGGATAATTTGTAAATTATGTGGCCATAAGACTTAAGATAATTAAAGATAAATATTACATGGGAAAAAAAGATTACTTATTTATAGTTTGTAAGAGGCTAAACCAATTCAACTCAATATTTAGGGACTGCCTCTGTTCATGAAAGTGATAGTATTAGAGAGGATACTCCATGAATACATTGGAACCATTCTTGAAGTAGCATGTAACACTGTTTGGGTAGGTGTGAGGAATAAAAAAGTTACAGTGAGGGAAGGGCCATAACAAAAGCAAAGGGCAAAAACCACAAGAGATCCCACACATGTGGCTCCCTGGGCCTGGCAGCTCGGAAAAGCCATTCTAGCCTCCAATCTTGCTAACTTCCAAACTACTGGGCACACACTTTAAAAAGAGAGAGCTATCCACATGAGCACCTATGCTCAAGTGTTCAGAGCAGCTTTATTTCTAACAGATCAAAACTGGACTCAACTCAAATGACCTCAATTGGCAAACAAACAGTTCAGTGGTGGCCTAGCTGAACTACTGAATACTTCCCAATACTGAAAAGAACTGATCCACACAGTAACTGTATGGATCTCAAGGGCATAACAATTAGCCTTCCATATTTGTGGGTTCTGCAAATTCTTATTGGTGGTATTGAGGTTTAAGCTTTGTTAGGACCTTAGGGTCTTGCTTTCTGTCTGGGCCAACATGGACTTCAATCCTCCAATTTACACTTCCTGAATAGTTGAGATAGCAGGTGTGCACCACCTCACTTAGCATTTTTATTGGTTGATGGATATCTTGCAAACTTTTTGCCTTAAATTCCAATCCTCCTGATCTTAGCCTAGAATAGGATTACAAGCATGAGCCACACTGTACTTGGTTAGTTATGCACTTTTCTTTCTTTTAATCAGTTGTGGGGGTTGGACTCTGGGCCTCGGGCACTGTCCCTGAGCTCTTCAGCACCCAAGGCAAGCACTCTACCACTTGAGCCACAGCGCCACTTCCAGTTTTCTGGTGCTTAACTGGACATAAGAGTCTCTTAGACTTTCCTGCCCAGGTTGGCTTTGAACCACAATCCTCAGATCTCAGCCTCTTGAGTCACTAGGATTACAGGTGTGAGCCACTGGTGCTTGGCTAATTCTGCACTTCTTAATTCAACCAACCATAAACAGAAAATATTCAGAAAGATCAGTTGATACTAAGTTAGAGAAACTTAAAGTTAGTATATAGGAACAAGAAATTCTGGAGTGTTATGGCACAGTAGAGCAGCAAAGGAGAGCAACAATATACTACACATTTCAAAAAGAAGATTTAAAAACCTTCCACCATAGAGAAATGATAAATTCTGGGAAATGTTTGACCTGGCTTAAACATTATACAACATATACCTGTATCAAACATTTGCTATTTCTTTGATATGCATAATTTTATGCTGTTATATATTAGTTAAAATAACTAAAAAGAAAGCATTTAGGGAAAACTGCATCTTTAATTGAACATATGCAGTACAGACCTTTTGCTTGTCATTTTTCCCTACCTTGTATAACAAAGTGATTACTATGTAGTATTTATACTGTACTAGGTATTAAAATGTATCCTAGGGATGACTTAAAGTGAATGGGAGGGGGTTGTACAGATTATACTGTTTCATTTTATATAGGGGATTTGAACATCCATGGATTTTTTTTTTCTTTTGTACTGTCCTGGGGCTTGAACTCAGGGTCTGGGCACTGTCCCTAAACTTTTGTGCTCAAGGCTAGTGCTCTACCACTTGAGCCACAGCCCTCCTTCCTGATTTTTTTTTGCTAGTAAATTGGAGATAAAAGTCTTACAGACTTTCTTGCCTGTGCTGGCTTTGAACTGTGATCCTGAAACCTCAGCCTCCTGAGTAACTAGAATTTCAGGTGTGAGCTACTCACACCTGGCATATATATGGATTTTAGCATCCATGGAGGGTGGGGGGGGGGGAAGGGGGCTGGGGAGGGAGGCGCATGGGAAGGAGGGACTCCTGTGAGGTTCTGAGGGAAAAAAAAAATCCCATCTCAAGAGGTGACATGCTGTGTAACTTCATATATATTCTTGAAACGACAAGATTATAGAGATGCAGAACAGATTAGTAATACCAGGAATTACAAATGGTAGGTAGGCAAGGTAGGTTCTATGGCTGTGATGGGATAGCACACAGAGATATCTTTGGGATGACAAGTAGCTCTGGATCTTGATTGTGGTGGTGGCGGTCATATGAATCTCTGTGATAAAATGTCAGGGAACTGTACACACTCTGGGCCAATGCCAATTTCCTATAGTTACATAAATATGCAATTGTTAGATGATTGGGTGAAAGGTAAGTGGGATTTTACAACTTCTTGTAGATGTATAATTTTTGCATGATAAGAAATTTTTTTAAAGATAGGTTTAAAAAATATGCTGCAATGATACCATCTCTTATTTTAATTCCTTTGACAGTGACTCTGACAGTAAGGTTCAAATCCTTTGTACAACATAGTAGATAGAAGATTCTCTAGGCTCTTCATACCACCTGGGACAGCAGACATACCATGTCTTTACACACCTGCAGGCTTCTGCCCAAGTGGTTCCATCTGCCTGAAATGACTTCCACCAACCTTCAGCCTCCTTCAAAATTTAGTTCAAGCATTTGTTTTTCTTGCAGATTTCCCTTCATGCTCTTTAGCCTGTGCTGGGAATGACCCCTGTTTTTCAGGGGTCATTTGATCATTTGGACCTGTATTCTTGTTATTTATTTTGCATGGTAAGCCTACCTTCACTCTGTTCTGAGCTTCTTAAGGGCCAACAACATGTCTGACTTATTTCTCAGTCCTCTACTAATCACATAGTAATTAGTAATTCAGTGGTTGCTGAAGGCAAAACTAAGTAAGAGAATAAATGTGATAGAGCAGTGTGGAGCAGTGGTTAAAATCTGGACCCTGGGGTGGAAGTCCCAGAGGGCCAGCCACTGATCTGGGTGGTCTTAGGTGACTGTTTTCATTTGTAAAACAGAGATGAACACAGAATCTCAGGGTGTCTCCAAAGAGGAGAGTGCAGCCCATCTGAGAAGGGTCTTGACACAAGGACATCCTGAATCTGACCAAGCTATGTCTACATCCAATTACTAATTTTTGAGAAATGCAGAGAATAAAAACATTAACTAACTCTGCAGAGATAGAATCAGTAAATCCCAACTAGGAAAATGCTACAGAACAACCCAATTCCTTCAACAAATAAACCACAAGTAAACAAAGAAATACAAGACATTAAGAGAAAGTGAACTGACAGATAAGCCAATCACAACAAATGAATCCTTATGTGGCTCTACCTTCAAATAACTAAAGAAGCTGGCACCGGTGGCCTGGAATCCTAGCTACTCAGAAGGCTGAGATCTGAGGATCACAGTTCAAAGTGAGCCTGGGCAGGAAAATCTGTGAGACTCTTATCTCCAATAAACCACCAGAAAACGGGAAGTGGTGCGGTGGCTCAAGTAGCAGAATGCCAGCCTTGAGCTGAAGAGCTGAGGGACAGCACCCAGGCCCACCCAGAGTTCAAGCCCCAAAACTGACAAAAAACAACCAAACAAACAAACAAAAACAACCAAAACTAAAGAAACTAAATTTCATAAAACAAGTGAAAATTTGATACTGACTCCTCATTTGATGACATTCAGAAGCTATTGCCTCTACAAATTTAATATGTATATATATATATATATATATATATATATGTATAATGTATAAACTTCTAAATTTTTTTTGGGGGGTGGTCAGTCATGAGGCTTGAACTCTGGGCCTGGCCACTGTCCCTGAGCTCTTCAGCTCAAGGATAATGCTCTACTATTTGAACCACAGTGCTACTTCTGGTTTTCAGGTAGTTAACTGGAGAGAAGAGTCTCATGGACTTTCCTGCCTGGACTGGCTTAGAACCTCGATCCTCAGATCTCAGCCTGCTGAGTAGCTAGGATTACAGGTATGAGCCACTAGCACCTGGCTTCTAAAAGTTTTAATTAGCTATTGTTAGTGTATAAATATATTATACATATGTAGATATACTGAATAATGCATGAATAAAATCACATAGTAGAATTTGCTTGAAAATAATACAAGAAGGGAAAGTGTGAGTAAAGTGAGTAGAGTTAGAGATGAGACAAGATTATCCAAGGGTTAATAATTGTTCAAACTGGATACTATTCAACTTTTTGGGAATATTTCAGAAAGTCTCTATGTTAAACAAATAAAAGACTGATGTTGGAATTAATTCATACAAAGCCAAGTAAATTACTAAGAATTAATTTTTCTGAAAGGAATTATGTAAATTGGCACCATCCAAATCAAGTATGAAAGGTAACCAAAAATAACCTACTGCCAAACCAGGTCTTAAGAAAAACATCAGGTTTGTTTTATCTTGTACAGCATGAAAACAATTGGTTTACTCACTATTAATTGCTTTGAAATTTTCTTCTTTTTGGAAAATTAAGATTTTCAACAAATCCAAGTGTATCCTCGAACACTTAAGTAAACACTTGAGAATAAAATTCTCAGAAAAATCAAAGCTCTCTAGAGACTATGTAAAAAAAAATTTTTTTAACCCAACAGGAGTCTTCTGAAAAGAAAATAAAAATACTAAGTGGAGGAAAATGTTAAATAGATTAACTGCTGTTCTCCCAGAATAAATTAAAAGTCAGACAAGAATACTGAGAGCTGGGGATCCAGGCAAGAATGCTGACCTGGAGGACATCTGGGTTCAAATTCCACTCACCAGCTGCTAGATATGAAGCAGACTGCTAAGAAAGACACTGTGAGTCTGTTTCTTCCTCTGTACATCAAGCAGTTACTCACAGGGCTCCAGCAACAATCAAATGAGTACCTAGGCTGGTACCCAGGCCCTAGGCTACTTTTCCAGCTCCTCCTAATACCCTCCTACACTGCATGTCCTAGAGGTCAACAATCCTGCACCAAGCCCAGTGAAGTCTGCATTTGGCTTAGGGGAGCTTCGAAAAGTTTTAATTATCTCTTGTCAACATTTAAAATCAGAGAAGTCCAGATACAAACTGGGAATTGTGATGTCTTTTAGAAAATTGTTGAGTGAAATTCTGATTCTCCAAGATTCCCATCAGTCCACAACTGCCCGGTTCCAAGGGCTTCACCCCACACTGAGGTCCTTCATTAGCTTTGGCCTTTCACCTCTCTGTGCCTCTCCCTGTCTGCCAAATTACTGGTCACCATTTAAGGTGACTGTCCTGTACTCCACATTTCCACCCAACGGGCCCTCCACTACCCCCAGTGTCATACCTTATCCTGGAACTGTCTGCATGCCTTCTCTACTGGGCTCCTGGGATCTCTGGGGGAAGGGACCCTGTTGCTATCTCCTTCTTGTCCCTGGGGCCCAGCAGAAAGCGTGACCTAGATAAATGCAGAATTCAGCTGATGTCTCCTGAATGTGGGAAAGAAGTAGGAGTGAGCTCTTGTAAAAATGTAAAATTTTTATCACAGCTTGTTCTGACAGTTACTAAGTAAAGGGGTCAAGGACATTAACATATTTCACAAAATGAGAATAAGCTTCCATCTGCTTACAAGTTTCACAAGTTAGAAGTCACTAACATAAAAGTGAAAGCAGAAACAGCAGGCGGGTAGGAAGGTTCTTTAGATCATTCACTGAACTGCTACTACTGAATACTTACTGTTTACTTCCTAAGCACTGGGGAGAAAGCAGGGCACCAATCAGACAACTACCTGTTTTCATAAAGCTACAGAAAATAAACAGGCAGACAAACAGAAGAGTTTCAAAGCAGAGTAAGTACGAGAAAAATGATACTAAAAAATGAAATTACAGGATGCTGGTGGCACCCTATAATCCTAGCTACTCAGGAGACTGAAACCTAAAGATCCTGGTTTGAAGATGGAGCAGGAAAAGTCCACGAGACTCATATCTCCAATTAACCAGAAAAAAAAAAAAATCCAGAAGTGACTCAAGCAGTAGAGCACTAGCCTTGAGCAAAAAAAGCTAACGGACAGCATGGACAGCATGCCCAGGTCCTTCAGTTCAAGCCTCAGTACTGGCACAAAAATAAATAAGTAAATAAACTGTAATGACTAAGAGAAGAGAGAGAGTAACCAAAGCAGGTCTCATCAAAAATAGGCAGAGAAGGGTCAGAAAGTGTCATCTACGCCAAAATCCCAGAGACAACTTTAAAACACAGGAAATTAAGACAGGTGATGGGTGTGTGTGTGTGTGTGTGTGTGTGTGTGTGTGTGTGTGTGTGTGTGTGTGAAGGTTAGTGGTGGAGGAGGTGGAGAACCCACTCTGGCTTTGCTGGACACTGCCTTGTGCAATGACAAGGCACAGGAGAGTGCAGAAAATGGGGGGGGGGGGGGGGAGGCCCGAGGATGGATGAGGAAGGGGTTGGTGGCTACGACACATCAGCAAAGGACAGTATGCCGCCCAATTTTCCGCAGATGCGCCCTGGGCACCAGCTCTACAGGCCTGACAATATCCCTGTCCAAAAATAGTAGACATTTCCCCACTTTCCCGAGGGGGAGGGGGATCAGAGACTTGGCCAAGGTCGCAGGCACCAGACCACCAGCCCTCCCCCCCTCGCCCCAGGGCGCCTCTGAGCATCCCGACCCGGTGGGGAGCTGCGTGCCCCGCCACCGGCAAGGATGACGCCCCCAGATCCCACCTGCACCGCCGCCGGGCTCGGGTCAGAGCGAGCGCGCGCGAGGGCCCGCAGCTCCAGACGGCTGACAGCCCGGCCCGAGGGTGACTGCGGCATCCCGGGAGGACAGGGGCGGCGGCCGCCAGCGCCCCACAGACCCCCCGCCCACCCCGGCCCGGCGGGCCCGCGCCCACCTCGCAGACCCGGGCCGCGAGACGCTCCCGCCAAGCCTCCCCAGCGGGGCCTGGTCCGAGCGGCCCCCGCCGGGCCTAGCTCACCCGCCCGCCCGCCGGGCTCACCTCGCCTCCCGGCCGCCGCGCACCAGGGAGAGAGAGCGGGCGGGCGGGCGGGCTGACGGCGTTGCGCTCCGGCCGCTCCCGGCTCCGCTGTCCCGGGCTCCGGCCGCCCCGCCCCGCTCCGCTCCGCCCCGTCGCCGCCGCAGTGGGTGTGAGGGGCGCCGGGGCGCTGCGACCCTTCCGGTCCGGCTCCCTTCAGCACAGCTGCCGCCGCCGCCGCCGCCACCGCCGCCGCCGCGGCGCTCCGCCTGACCGACCTGAAGGCTGACCAATCAGTGAGCGGAAAGACAGAAAGGCGTGGCCAATCGCGTCATGGGGGGGCGGGTCTCTGCTGGGCGGCGCGGGAGGGGTCAGCCCTCACTACCTGGCGCTTGGAGTCTGGGATTTGGGGTAGTGGTCCAGAGGGAGGGGAGGTTGTGGGAGGGGGGAGGTTTTTCACCTCTAGGCTGCTCAGCTGTAATTGCACACTGACCTCTCCTGCATTCGGGGTCGCGCCATACATGCAGTGGGCTGGAAACTCAGGCAGTGGATGGCTCGGCCTGGCTCCTGAGCCCGCCTTGGGGACTGGGGTTGGGGGAGTGAGGGGGGTGGGCTAAGTAGGGGGGAGGACGAGGCCCAAAGCCGCACGCGGAGCCCAGAAGTGGCAGGAATGGGGTTGGGGGAGGACCACGAGGCCTCGATGTCCTGGAACCCGGCGTGGTCGTCCAGTGGCCCTGGGAGGAGGGGGGGAAGGTGCAGGGCCTGGGCCTCTGGCTTGCTTGCTGCAGGATTGCAGCCCTCACGCAGAGCAGAATGGGTTTGTAGGGGAGGGGTAAGAGGAGCTGACCAAGAGCCCAGCAAGCCCATTTGGTAGTGGGGAGAAGGTTCTTGTTGGCAGTTGTGACACCTCTGTCTGCAGGAAAAGGTGGGGTGGGGTGGGGGGACAACTCTGTGTATTGTTAGTAAAGTAGAAAGACTAGACACATTGGGAAATTTCCTCAGAGATCTGTGGCCTGCTGGGAGTTGGAGGTAGGTAGGCCTTTGGGGCCAGTGGCTGACGAAAGGAGATTTTGGAAGAATGACCAGGGCCAGTCAAAGGACCGGAGGACATGGCAGAATTGGCATACAGCGCTGCAGGAACCCTATCTCCCGGCTTCCAAGGATGCTGAGGGCTGAGTCAGGCTGAGCAGGCCTCAGAGGAGGGGTGGGGTAAAGAAATGGCCCCAACCGTAATGTCCCCTTTTGGCCACCAGAGGGAGTTTTCTAAAATTAAGTATGGCTCGTTCCTGCTTAAAATTCTCTCAGCTTTTGAGTGGTGGCCTGTGTGAAGAAGGTCTGGGCTATTCTTTACAAAGGTACCTAGCTTCAGGTTTTTCATTAGAGGAGTGCAAAACAAATGTAATCACCATTAGATTCTCTACACACTCTTGGCTTATGTGCTTCAGGATTAAAAGTGAGGATTGTTTTTACATGATTCCTCAAAATATAAGAGATCTGGGACTCTCTCAGTTGTGAATCCACCAAACCCGGAGGGGCCTGGACCACAAAACTGCCTTTCAGAACCATGAATCAAATAAGCCTCTCCTCCCTATAAAACTCCAGAGTGTGGTGTTTGACCGGAGCAATAGAAAATAGCCTGAGACAGAAGGTGTCGTAATTCATCAGACCCAAATCAACAAAAAGTAATATGAAAATTTATTTTTGCACTGCTCTGGGGGTTGGAAAGTTCAAGATCCAGATATTGATGGATCTGCTTTCAGAGAAGACATACTTTCTGGTTCACGCACAGAAGTCTTTTCATTGTATTCTGGCTCCACCTTTACAATCTTGTCGCCTTCTAAAGGTTCTATTTCTAATATGACCCTATTAATGGTTTAAGATTTCAGCATGGGAATTTGGGACTGGGGTACATAAACATTCAGTCTGTAGCAGGAGACAAGGGTAAATACAGATTCCTAGGCCTGAAGAAAATTTTTCCTGTGAACTTTTAAAGTTGATCCATCAACTTGTTCCCAATGTTGCTGTTGAGGAGTCTAAAGTCATTCTGTTTCTTTGTAGGTGACCTTTGTAAGTGTTCTAAAATAACTCAGTATGGTGTCTTGGCTTGATTTGGTCTACACTTCAGTCTGGTAACTTATGCCTTTCAGTTCCAGGAAATCATGAATTACTTCATGAATTCTAGTATACTTCTATCGTAGAGTTCTGTTTCTCTGGAATGCCCACTTTGCAGAGGCTGAAGCTGCTAGATTGGTGTCGATGTTTCTTCTCTACCATCAATCTTCTTTCCAGTTAGGGAATGTCTTCAACCTTCTCTTCTAATGTATCTACTACTGACCTGTCTACAAAGCTTGAAGGAGTCTAGTATTTTGAAGAATGTCCCTCAGTTGGGTTTGCCTGATGCCCTTCTGAGAATAGAATGGGGTTATGAGTTTGGGGGAGGAAGACTACAGAGGGAGGAGCCATTCATAAATGTACAGGATACATGCTATTAACATGCCTTATCAGTGCTGATGTTGAACTTGCTCACCTGAGATGGTATGTTCAGGTTTTCCCACTGTAAAAAAGTACTTCACTATTTTGTTAGGCAAATGACTATCTGTGGCTACCGGGAGCTCTTTCAGCTGGCTTTTGTGTCTTTTTTATATAAACCCCATCATGGTGTATATGGGGGGGTCGGGAGGGTGAAGTACTTCCTAACTTGAACTGTAATAAATTCAAGGCTGTTAATGGATTTCTTGACTAAACCCAGCCATTTTTCCAGGGGTCCCTGGAGAAACCAGGGGTTTCATTAGAAACCAATGTCTGTACTCTGGGTGTGGTTGCTTCTGGGCCAGCCATTTCAGCTGGGAGGGGGGAGGGATGGAGGGGAGAGACCAAGGTCATTTAAAAGTATACTGAATATTTTTTGAATAACTGGTTCTTGTTTCAAAGACTTTTTTTTTCATTCTTTCTGAAGCGATAACCAATATTTTTTCTGTTAAAAATTTCCATCTCCAGTTGTTTTTGTTTTTTTTTTTAAAGAAAGAGATACAGCTCGCTGGGCACCGGTGGCTCACGCCTGTAATCCTAGCTACTCAGGAGGCTGAGATCTGAGGATCATGGTTCAAAGCCAGCCTGGGCAGGAAAGTCTGTGAAACTCTTATCTCCAATAAACCACCAGAAAACTGGAAGTGGCGCTGTAGCTCAAGTGGTAGAGCGCTCGCCTTGAGCTGAAGAGCTGTGGGACAGCACTCAGGCCCAGAGTTCAAGCCCCATGACCAACAAAGAGAGAGAGAGAGAGAGATAGCTCTTTGATTGTATTAATTTCTCTGACATATGACCTTGGGCTGTGTGCTTAGATTCAGTGTAGGCTGATCAGAAGTTCTGAATTCATGGTGGGCTTTATTGATGCTGAGATTCACTGCTGGGGATAAAGATTATGTTTCAACCCATGAGATTATGATTAGAAATAAAGAGATTGTGAATAAAGATTATGTTTCAACTACAATTGTTTCAACACACTCAAACCCTGTCTACACCCTCTCAAGAGCAAAGGAGGGCTGTTCCCAGCAGACACTACTGAGTTTTGTTGTTGTTGTTGTTTTTTCGGTCGGTCCTGGGGCTTGAACTCTGGGCTTGGGCACTGTCCCTGTGCTCTTCAGCTCAAGAGAGCTTGAGCCACAGCTCCACTTCCCATTTTCTAGTGGTTTATTGGCGATAAGAGTCTCGTGGACTTTCCTGCCCGGGCTGGCTTTGAACCACGATCCCCAGATCTCAGCCTCCTGAGTAGCTGGGATTACAGGTGTGAGCCACCGGCGCCTGGCTTACTACTGCATTCTTTTAGGCCTTAAAATTCAGAGTGCACACCAAAAAAAAAAAAAAATGAGATCAACCAAACACACAACACCTCCCCAAACTGTACCATCTTTATTGTCTTTAAATTGCATAGTAAGTTTGATTGTGCACGCTTTTAAATAGAAAATAGGACAGCCCACTTGGAACTATCCTCTTGCATGGGACATTTCAAGCTGTTTTACTGTGAGTAGAGAGCAGAGACCACACTGCTGCCTGGACTTAGAAACAACCATCATCTGATTCAACAGAAATTAGAGGGTTGCAGGGATTTGGGTCCCATTGGAGAAGGAAATGTTGAAGGAAGAAGATTTCAGCAAGACTTAGAGGAGGCATCAGAGGGTAACTGGAGGGACTTTGCTGATGAATGGGATCAGTAAAAACCTAGGGAGGAAGGAAAAGGAGAAAGGAGTCCAGAGGTCAATGCCTGGTGCTCAAATCGAAGATGAATTCTACTTGCCAAAGCCCAGAGGTGGCATGTAGTATAGCCGAGGTGCACAGCTTGGGTGTCAGTTACCATGGTGACCGAAAGCCATATACTAGAAAAATAACTTAGAAGCTATACAATCATCATTATAAATATTTTGTTTTTTTTTTGTAAACAAAATATTGGTTAAATACATTTTTTAAAAAAACAAAAGGTTGGTTACAAAAGGTTCACAGTTACTCAGAAGAGAGCGGTATTGTCTATTGCACAGTAGTGGAAAAGTCTGCTCTGATCCCCGTCTGTAATCAGTGACACCCCCCCCCCCTTTTCTCCTCAGATGACTTCAGGACACAGAGAAACAGTATTTGCTGTAAGCAAAAGCACTTGGGTAGAAGGCACTTGGAAGCTGTCGAGCTCTACCAGGAACACGTGGAACACGCAGAATCATGTTCTGTTTCTCTCCCCGCATTGCATCCCTGCGGTTGGAACAGGTCTTGGATTAGACTAAAGGTGGTGGATGGTCTGGTCATAGTCTTGTTCTCATTCCACGGTGACAGATTTGGCCAGGTTTCTGGGGAAGTCAACCTAAAAGGAAAGACAGGAACTGCTCACAATCCCACAGATCAAAGACACTGACTTTTATCAGACTCCTCCAATTCAAGGAGACAGGTGCTCCTGTCACCTCTAGCCCATGAGCTCCCTGAACATCAGCATTGTGGAAGTGGATTTCTTACTCCAGAAGCTTCATCTAGCTGAATAATGTGTAGTTCATTCAAACAACACTTATTATGCACTTGATGTATATATATATATATATATATATATATATGCTATGT